AATATCAAAATCCGAGAAATCAAATCAGGTCCCTGCACACGCAAATCAAACATTTGCAAGCAAAAGTCCTGAGAACTTGAACCTCTTCGCTCGCAAGGCTGTTTTCTGCTCGCTTGTAGTTTTTTCTTTTTGACAGTAAGGGGGCAGACCCAGTCACCATGGTATCTCTACATCTAATTGGTTACAAACCTGGTCTTTGGATCGGCTGGATTTCATCTCTGTTGAGTTGTGTTCACAATTGGGAAACGTGGTCTGACCTTCCAAAAGTACTTTTCCCACAAACTGTAGAAGTAAAAAAAATATAATGAAGGGAAGTAGATACATTATATTTTCTATAGTCATCTATATCAGGAATTAAATAATGACCACTTTCATTTTCATTACAATAATCAGTCAAATCAAGACCTTGATCACAGAGCCTTAAAGATGACCATTCCCACACACAGAACCTTTGTATAAATAGAAAATATTGATAGTTTAACAAGTGGATCTAGTCTAGCTGTTGGATTGTCAGGACTAGTTTTCAGCTTGACATCATTTGAAAAGAACACTCTGCGTGCGTACTGCTGACGTCAGAGCCGTCATTCCTGTCGAACAAAGTTTCTGAACGCCGATTGGCCTGTTTATGGAACATTAACGCCCCTTTCTTTCAGATTCCTGCCTCTTGGGCAATAAAGTGAGTGCGGATCAAGCCACTTCCGGCAAGAGGGGGACCACGTACGTAGCGTTTTAAATTTTAGACTTAAAATTCCATTTACAAAATAAACGAAACAGTCATGTGGATTTTCTACGAGGCTATTTTTCTTCTGGTAGTATGTAGTGAGTTCTAACGCATTTTCATGCCATTGGCAAAGCGTAATGGACTAGCCCATTTTTTGCCCAACCCTCAATTGCTGGAGTTCCGTGACTCACGAGGAAATTTATGTAACTTTCGCCGGTACCGGCTTTCTGTCACTTCCCATCGCACGGAGGCAAAAACACGCGGGTGGAAGAGGAACTGTGGCTAGCGTTTGGTTTCCGACATGTCTCGTTTTCTTTAGAGGTGAAAGGACGTCAGCACAGCGCCGGCAGCTAACAGTCACACTTACACTTGACGCTACTACAGTAAGGAATGAATCCAGCTCGCCGCTGTTCGGCTCTTCTCAGCCAGCTGCGTGTGTCCTCCGGCCGGGGAGCGTTTCCCGCGGCGGCAGCCTCGGGCCCGACGGAGACGCGGCGCTGCCACTCCGTTGTGTTGGGAGGAGGAAGGGGAGTCAAAGGGACCTGTCTCCATCTGGGATCGGACGGGGCACCCATCTCTGGGGCAGCACCAGGTATTGTACTCCTCAGTACTGCTTCCGGTATTCACTTACCGAACGATACTGTCGTTCTGGCACAAACCTACTCCTCCATCATTGACGTCATACTTTTGGCAAATACACTTTGGAATATCATTTTCTTTTTTGTTATTAACTCCTCTTCGTTGACATAATGCTTCGACAATATTTTGCGTTGCTTCGTTGGGGAAACTTATTTGACAGTGATACTTTTGAGGTAGAACTTTTGAACTCTCGGCCCAACCTGGACTGAAAAGACTAACAAAATTGTAGCACTGTACTTATAATGCCTCTCATCTCAGCAAGTTGTAAATTGCCTTATTTAATGATAATTAATTAATTTTCTTTTAAGTGACAAGCTGCTTTTTGAAATAAATCTCAATAACTCAATGAGTTTCACAGATCTAATATATATATATATATATATATATATAAGATATGTAGAACTAACAGTATTAAGTACTCACATTAAATTTGCTATGATAGAAATGAAAACGGCAGGTGTTCAGATTTGAGATTTATGGCCCCTCAAATAAAACTACGGCTGCAACTAACGATTATTTTGATAATCGATTAATCGGTCGATGTCTTTGATTAATCGATAAATCGGATAAAAAACAGCATTAGAAAGCATCAATTTTCAACCATTTATTCTAAAACACGACTGCAAATTCACCACAAATCAGAAGATTTAACAGGATTTGTTTTAAAGTCAAGACTATACTACACTCAGACGCGCACACACTCAAACTCTCACACTCACAAACGCACACCCATGTTCACTTCAAATGTATACACCATATCGAAGTACAGCTTAAAAAAAAAGCCAAGTGCTATGCGATTAATTTAAAATGTCTTTTGTAAATAAATGCATTAGAGGCTTCTTAGTTCGCTGTGATGGTTCAATGCAGTGGTTCTCAACTGGTCTGGCTCCGGGACCCACCATCACCCCTTAATGACAATCCCCGACCCAAATCGAGGAACATTCTCAACTTCTCATTTATTATGGTGCAGTTTTAACCTGAGATAGTATGGAGACAGAATACGTATGCCAACACAAAAACAAGTTTAATGAAAAAACCAAACCGCCAGCTGTTAATTGTAATTTTTATTTTCCCAGGCAAAGGCCCGCGACCCATTAAAAATAGGTCCGCGACCCACCCGTTGAGAATCACTGGTTTCATGGATCACTGTGTGTCAAGTACCGTATAACCCCCAGTACATGTGCGACTACTGTATATGACCGTATTAAAAAGTACAACACATACAAATATATTTGTCAACTCTAACCGAAATGGGACAAAGCACAAAATATATACAAGACAACAGATTGAAAAGTAAAATGGTCCAAAAAAGGCGAGTGAATAAAAATGCGTCTTAGTCTTGCTAACTGATTTACTGCTGTTATTAGCGAGCTAACGCTAGCTTGTTGCATGCTGGAGGCTCCTTACGTTCCTCACGTCAAAACGCAGCAACGTGGTGATCCCGTGCCATTTTACGTTGACTTTGCATATTTTGCCATTGACACTTTTTTAGTTTATTTAGTGTGAAATGCTCGCACACTTTAACTCGAACAGACGGCTCTGCCTGCGTCATGTGACTCACAACAACTGCCGGTGCCGGTGCGAATCGATAATTCGTTGCCAACACTTTTAATAATCAATTTTTATCGATTCGTTGTTGCAGCCCTTATTAAAACCTCATCAAATTGTATACTGTTTAATTTTCTGTTTGACGAAATTGACTAAATGTTTCAGCTCTAATACACACCGATCAGGGCCTCAAATTAAACATACACCTGTAATCGGCTTTTCTTCAGCCAACGTGCTTAACTCCCACTACTATTTATTCCTCCTCTGAAACTGAGCTACAGGATGTTCTTGATGTTCTTAACCGGTTCCCTTTGTTTGGTAATCTGTTTCCCTTCAAGTGCTGCTAACTGTGACACTGCACGTCTTAAGTAGAATGACTGTGCGGAGAGGAGGAGCACCACCTGCTGTCAATGTGCATCTTTGGCCTGGTGTGAACCACTATTTCACATTGCATAGGCATTACTTCCCTCAATGAAGAGAGATTAGATGAGCAGTCGTAGAAATGGAATGGTTTGATATTGTTCTATTGACTTATTTAATATAGTGCACCTTTTTCCTACAGAACAACCTTCTGGAGTTGTCTGTGTGTTTCTCTTAATTATGTGTTTGGTCTCAAGCAACTCCTCGAAATATTTGTCACCAGGGCTGTCCGGAACCAAGGAAATTCTTGTTGATGTATTGGCTACTGTTTGATCGCTCTGTAAAACTGGTTTCTTCTCAAAGCACACAAAATAATCTCCTTCAGTCTTGTATTTACACGCCACTATTTTTGAAATGAATCATTCAGCATGAAGAAAGCATTAAAGACAATAACTAAACTAAAGCCACTGAAGACATGGCCTCATCTAAGACCAAAAGGACCCATTGTATGACCAAAGAAGGGGGGACGCCCTGTCTGTCTGTCCGCTCTATGCCTGGTTTCATTTCCCTAACGAGAACACCCGATCAGGCGCCCTGTTCACTTCCAGTCCAGTGGCCGGAGGATTCTTCGGAGACGAGATGGGAGAGAAAGTGTCTGATGTCTCCGCGCTCGGTCACCACGCCCTCGCACAAATGCGACCACAAGAAACTTGAGCAGTGTGATGGTCCCCTCTCAGAAAAGGTCAATTTTGTGCCACAGTCTGGAGCTCTGTTGCCCCAGAGTTTGTCTCTTAACCAGAGGGAAGTTGATTTGTAGTAAAGACGTGTGGAAACCAGCTGTTTCATGAACTGTTGCCAGAGACCACCTTTACAAGCAGGACTGTGCTCGTAGTGGCTCATTAATGCTGGCTGAAAACAGATGCCAAAACTGACACCTGGTGTCACATGACTGTCTTAAGGAAGCCTGTGTTCTGCGGAAATATTGCCCTTTAAAAACGTGTGCTGGTGAAATGAGATCCAGTCAGGAACCGTGGTTTGACAACCAGGTTGAAGGGTTGTCTATTTAAGTTATTGTGACATGGAAATGGGTCAGGGCTCTGCGTTCATCACTGTGGTGAGGTCACAAACCTGCACAATCATCCTCACGTGGCCTGGGTCAGCAGCAAAATGACGCCTTATACACTGAGCCTCTGTAATACTCTGTAATTCTGTCTTTCTCTCAAGAGGCTAAACTCTTAATCTAACATGCAGGTCTTTACCAGCCTCCGTTTCTAATGGGCTTTGGGGTCAGGCATGGATCAAAGTAGTGCATACTATATGTGTGCATCAATCCATCAGGCCCATTATCTTCTACTTAAAAGGGAAATACTTTGAATTTGATTGGCAGTGTTGACACAGCAGCACAGAAACCAAAACTTGGAGGTGATCTGAAGGCCGACGTGACCGGATGTTTGAACTGAAACCCTCAGGCTTTAATGCAAAGTTTACATAGTGGTCAAGCCGTGCATTTCCAAACCCCATTGACTTCTATCGGGAAATAACTGAGGAAAGCGATGAGTTCTTGTGTGAACACATGAATATCATCAATAGGTGCTAGAAGTTCCAACAGGTTCCTTCGTTCTCAAGTGAATTGGGATCATTCTGGGCTCAGGGCGGGTCTACGGGAAAGACCAATCCAGTACCCAACATGCATCCATTGTGTAAAACTCTGCCTGATTAATGTCACATGTGTATACATACACAAAACAACCCTTCATTGCTTTTCCACCCTGTAGGACACTCTGGTAATTGGGTGACACGTCTTTGCACAGCAGAGCAGACGATACCCTGGAATTTGATCCTTCTTGGTAACCAGCACCATCCAGTACTGTCTGGTTTATTATTCTATAGATGTCTTACTCTGTCCTGAAGCTGGACACAGTTTGCTTTTTAGCCCGGTAAGCTGTTCCTGCTCATCCCATTTGAACCTCTGTTAAGTATCCCAGCATGGATTTAACGCAAGCCTTCAACTGAGACTGTGGGACTACACACTGTGAGGATTACAAATATTAATTTTAGTCAAAATAATGTCCTCTTAAGACTTTTGCCCTGGTATTTTTTAGAGCAGCATTGACTGAACAGTGTTGACCCTTAAGGGGATTTACTGGATGCACTGCCTCAATGTCTAATTTTAAATTAATGAACAGTAGATCAATATAAATATCTTTCCTCCCTCCTCATTTGTCTAACTATATTGCTTTTGGCAGTTGTTAGACTTGTCAGTCAGTCAGGCTAACAACATGTGTATGCGTTGTCGGCCCTTTTGTCTTTGAAGGTGCCCGCAGTGTTGGGGAGGTAGAAAAATAAACCGATACAGAGATGGTGACCGTGAAGCTCAGGGAAGTGTTTTAATGGTGCTCCACGCAACGGAGGAAGAAGATGGACGTACGGTACTAAAGGGGAGCAGAGCGGTCCTTCCATCAGACGATCGGCTCTAAGGTCCATGTCTTGGGCAAGTCACTTAACTCCAAATTGCTCCCGTACTGGTAAGAAAGTAACATATTGGGCAGGTGGCACTGTGTCCTGTCCTCATTGTGCGTGAATGATGACAACCTAGTGTTCAAGCAGTACGAGCGGTCTAAGCGAAGACTAGAAAAGACACAATTAGTCAATTTCCTTTTTTGTAGAATAAGTAGTTTGTTTACTGTGCTTTCAATCTAGACTCTTTTCAGGGCACTAGCCGCCTTCTTTCCTGGTGGTGATGAATGTGGAATGAACATGCAAAAAGATTGTAGCAATTCATCGTTGGCCGGTGTGACGTAGCGCCTTTGAGGCCATCACCTACACAGGATGGTGGCGTCAAGGACTCACTGAGGTTTGAGTTGGGACGAGGTGCAGGCAAGAAAACTCAGCGCTCTGGGATGCGATTAACCATTCCTCTCGTTCCGCTGAAGTGGGGAGAGCGTTCTTGAATGGGCCAGTTCATGACTGAGTCCCTCTCTATATCTGGCTGCCACGGCAGCAGTCACTGGGACGGTCTCGTGAGAGTGACACTGTGCTTCCACAGCTGCGTCCAGGAAAGAGAGCAAGGGTGGACTGAGAGGACGACGTTAGGGGGACAACTACATTGAAAACGGTGTATGTATACTTCTCTCTCTGTGTGTATACTTCTCTCTCTCTGTGTGCGTGTCCTTCATCTGCTTTGGTTCATTCAAGAAGTATCTGTTGGGGTTGTATGTTACTGTTTGTACTAGTGAAATAATAAAAAAAAAATATAGAACAGAGCCTAGTCTCTTTTCAAAGTCTATTTTAGCGTTTTGGTTGAAATGTTTTTTTTTTTTTTTAATGTCTACTCCGAGTAAAAATACTATTTATCCAGTAGAAAGAAATGCTAAACCAAACGGCGTAACCATGTCATGTGAGATGTCATGTCGTTCCACTTAAGGAACAAATGTTAGCGCGGACCACGAAGGACACACGGACCATTCAGTGTCCAACGCGGCGCACGTGCACTTCCATGTGTGTGCACATGACCAGGATGGTACCAGCTCCGCCTCGTTTGAGCCGGTAAAACATTGCATTGTTTGCACCAGGTGACGGAGCACAAAGAGACGGTGCTTAGTTAAGTTGCTGGTGTTCGAGTGGAGCTGAGCCGATTGTCTGTGCGTATTCAATGAGGCCGTAGCGAGAGGTTGTTGTGTGTTTCTGAGGATGAGGAGATGACTCTGTACAAACTAACATCTTCATCTCATTTACATTTTCTAAAAATATAAGTTTTATTGACTTTGTTGTTTTTCCATCACACTGGCTCCACCAAAGATGCTCCTCCATCGGTGCAGCAATCCGCGTTCTCTGCGTCTTCTCCACGCTTTGACCCCGCGATCCAACTGGCAGAATCTGGACTCGTGACTGAACATAACGTTCGTCCACATGTTCAGGTTCCAGCGCACGTTTGGCTGACCGCAAACAGGCCTGACGGTGAAGGGCCGTCATAGCAGGCCGATGGCCGAAAGGGAAATAATCAGGCTTTGCAACGCTATGAGATTGTCGCAAACAAAGAAATAATTGACCAAACGTGAGTTTCCTTACTTGTGCTCTGTTCATGTGGATGTTGGAGTTGTACTTGCTGGACCAGAGAGCTCTTCGGATGGTGCTGAACACTGTTGCTACCTGCAACTCCAAAAAGACACCAATTGTACATTTTAGCTGTCAAGTTGTGATCAGAGACTAAGCAAAAATTTGAATTGAAAAAAAAAAATATTGGGACACTTTTCACAGTCTGTTTTATATCCGGTAAAATGTACTGTGTACTTTGCGATATTCAGGATTTTGGTACCAAACTCATTATAGTGGTTACAGAAAATGGTCTGCTGATGTATAGTTTGAAAATAAGTTACAAACTTATTGTCTTGCAAACAATAACAATAGTACAGAAAATTAAAATTGAATAACTTGAAAGAAAAAGATCCCAACCTGCACAGAATCTTAGCTGATTTTTGTATTGGTAATAATTGGAATAAGATATTAGAATATCCTTTTCTTTGATGGAGTTTTTCTGTCGGATTCCAATAAGAAGCTGGTTCATTGTATCCTTATGGGGACCAGAGATAAGCAATGTAAACTGCCCTGGGTCTCAAACCTCTACTATTCCTCAGTGACTGACTGAAAGCATTACATGATAATTCTTTGATCAAATATCCTATAACATGACGGCACAACACGAGCAGGTGCAGGCAGCCTCACTAGTGGCAGCAGACCCTTTCACACGGGTTTAAGGTGGTCGTCAATCGCTTATCACGTATTCGTCCTCGTCATAATACTCATCTAAGCACACTTGTCATGCAGTGGCGGCTGGCCAATACAGGGCAATGGGGCGTCGCCCCTCCTCCTGCCCAAAATAAAATAAGAAATGATAATATTAAGTGATACACAATGTCAATATGTGTTTTTGAAACATGTAATGTAGTCGGTTATATTTTACAAATATATGTTCAGAAAATCTATTTGCCTGCACAGCTTTGCCTGTCATACGCACGTCCTGTTCGTCTGACCCAGCTGCGTCCCTCAATGTTGTACACAGGTCATGTGACTAGGAGAGCCCGGTCTGTTGACTGTCAGTTCCTTTTCTGGCTTTCTGAATTAGCTGGACTATGAACTTGTTCTGTGACTGCCAAAGCAACAGAAACTTTGTCCCCTTTGGATGTCTTTGTTTACGTTGGCAGTGAAGATGTGCCCTCTGTTAGTACAGCTCGTGCTGCTCATCTTCCTCATCGCTGAGCACAGTAGAGTAAAGGTTTCTTTTTTGGTTTTTTTAGTGACTGTTTGGTGTTTTGACACCAGAGACCTTCCCGTCATCCGATCAATCCCATTTTCTTCCCCTCGCTTAATGAGTTCTGGGTAATTACACAATATGAAAATAACACACTGAAGAAGCAAAGCAGAATTTAGAGAAGTTTGTTTTTGTTTTTTACCCATGAATCATAGTCATACCTTCTTTTTATTAGAGAGTGGCGCTCAAAATCTGAAGCACTTGTAAAAAGAAAGCACACTGTGCTTGTATTACAGCAGGACTACGTGCATTACCCACAATCCTTCTTTCATTCACATGCTAACACACCTACAGGGTTGTGCTGATCCAACCCCTCTTGGCTGGGTATTATTCAGTAGATGATGCTGCCTGTTGTTGCCGCACCTTCAGTGACCCCTCACATGTCTTCCTTGTCTCACCTCATCAGTTTGTCCAATGGGTGCCAGCGGCAGCAGGTTGTTTGGTACGCTTGCCCAGTCCCTGAAGAGCGCGTCCTTGGACCAGACTGAGCCGGACCAAGAGGAGAGCCCAGAACAGGATGTGGTCGAGTGCGACCCGGACCAGCTGCTCAGAGAGTGTGAAGAGGCCCTGCGGGGGCGTCCAGCCAGGCCGCATCGGGCTCTGGTGCTTCCCAGTGGTGTGGCGCATTGCCACCACAAGCCCAACCCACCCATTCGGATCATGCAGTGGAATATACTCGCACAAGGTAGAGCTCTTTGGTGAAAGCACCGACTAACGTTGGTAAGGACGGACGTTTCCTGTTTAAATGTGGAACTTGTAGGGGTTACTTACTCTGCCGTCCGTAAGTCTTTACTGTATATGTACAGCGGGTCGTAGTCCCCTGATGGATGAAGCATAACGATGTATGTCTTTTGGTTTCCAGCTCTTGGGGAGGGGAAGGACAGTTTTGTCCGCTGTCCACTGGACGCTCTCAACTGGCAGGAGAGGAAGTACTTGATCCTGGAGGAGATCCTCACCTACCGCCCGGACATTCTGTGCCTGCAGGAAGTGGACCACTACCACGACACCTTTCAGCCAATCATGGCCAGCCTCGGCTATCAAGGCAGCTTCTTGGCCAAGCCGTGGTCTCCCTGTCTGGATGTAGAGCAGAATAACGGCCCTGACGGCTGCGCTCTGTTCTACCGCCGCTCGCGCTTCTCCCTCCAGGCCACCGCTCACCTGCGGCTGTCGGCCATGATGCTGCCCACCAACCAGGTGGCCATCGTCCAGACGCTCAAGTGCCAAGAAACGGGCCGGAGGCTGTGTGTGGCCGTCACCCACCTGAAAGCTCGTAGCGGTTGGGAGAAGCTCCGGAGTGCGCAGGGCGCTAACTTGCTGCAGAGTCTGCGTGGCATAACTTTCCAATGCGGCAGCAGCCGTCATGACGAGGCGCCGCTGGGTGCCGTCCCTCTGGTGGTTTGCGGAGACTTCAACGCGGAGCCCTCGGAGGACGTCTACCGGCGGTTCAGCTCGTCCGCTCTCGGCCTGAACTCTGCGTACAAGCTGCTGAGCGCCAATGGAGAGACGGAGCCCGCTTACACGTCATGGAAGATCCGCCCCTCCGGAGAGAGCTGCAGCACTCTGGACTACATCTGGTACAGCCACGAGGCTCTGAGCGTGCAGCGCCTGCTAGACATCCCCACGGAGGAGCAGATCGGCCCAGACCGCCTCCCCTCCTACCACTACCCCTCCGACCATCTGTCGCTGCTGTGTGACGTCAGCTTCAGGGAGCAGCCCCATAGGTTGATGTAGGCATCATCACAGCAGCGCTGAACCAATAGAAGCACTGAGTGAGAGGGCTGTAGGCGGGAAAACGATTGGATTGGTTTGTGAATGATTTTCAATCATGAGACAAAAAGCACTCTTTAGTGGTGCTATTAAATAAGATCACTTCTGATGAAACTATAATAACTGGGACTTGTTCAGAGGAGAAGGAGTCTCTTATGAAATGGCAGCTTCACTTTGACCATTGCAAACAACTCATTATGTTAATTTATTACATTATTCTCTTCACTTTCTGTTAATAAATAATAAACAATTCATCTCAGTGTTGAGATTGATTTTGCATTTTATATATAAATACATGTTATTGAGATGTACTAACCTTCACTGATGAGGAATCCTTGTTATTGATCGTCAGCTCAGACATGTTTTCCACTCAGCCTGCTCTATAAGTAATTATTAACATTTTATTTGTATAGCTAAACGTACTTTCATAACTGCAAAATAACATGACTCAACAATAAAATACTTTCATTTCATTTTCTAAATGATGCTTCTAAGAATGTCAGTCTACGTTTAAGATATTAAAAGGAATTTGAGCAGAAAAAATACTATAAAGTCTTTGAATATAGATATAGACTTTTGTTTAAAGCCATAATAATGCTGAACTTTACTTATAAAATACTTATTGACATACATCCATCCATCTGCAAACCACTTATCCTGCACACAGTGTCACAGGGGGGCTGGAGTCCATCCCAGCCAACTTTGGGCGTGAGACGGAGTACAGCCTGGATTGGTTGCCAGCCAATCGCGGGGCTACACAGAGACACACACCTACGGGCAATTTAAAGTCCCCAATTAACCTGATCCCCAGAGCATGTCTTTGGACTGTGGGAGGAAGGCAGAGAACCCACGCAGACACGGGGAGAACATGCAGACTCCACACAGAAAGGCTGCTGGGTCGAACCCAGGACCTTCTTGCTGTGAGGCGACAGTGATAACCACCACACCATAAAGTTATTGTTATACCAAAACATTTTTCAAAGTCTTACGGTATGTCCAATCATGAACTCATATTTTGAAAAAGGTGGTACTATATTACGTCTACAAAGACGTCATAGTATGACTGAGAAAATGTATAATACGGGATTACATAAGGGCCTACTCAAATGTGTCAGCAAGTTTTTGATGTCAGTTTAGTTTTTCATAGTTATACTATAATATGACATTACATATTATAGCATATCCTAAAAGGTTATCAAAAAGTAAAAGCTAATCATAATTACATTTCTTAATGTCATAAAGTATCCCGTATGTCTAAAGAATCATGGCATACTTAAAAGTCTTCGTACGTCGTAGCCTCCACGTACTCAGCTGCTGAGGTTGAGGATCAAGCACAGAATCCGGGATGACGGCGCCTTTTTCAGCACTTCAGAAAAACTCCACACATTTTTTTAAATGACAAAAAAAAAAGACTCCATTCACATTTATCTTTTTTTTTTATAATACATATTTCAGTAAAATCTACTTCAATACAATGATAGTAAAAGGAAAAAAATAGTATATTATCCTTCGGGTGTAGAGCACATCATTTAGCACTTTACTCTGGACAGACATCTTTTCTCTCCCTTTTTATGAACTGTAAAAAACTGAATGAAACAAAGACATGGATTCAAACGTCTGTACTGATGCCGAGTATCAAAAAAAGCTTTTTTACATTTCTGTTTACAAGTCTCGTCAGGCATTTATATTACGTTTGATTACAAAAACGAGTTTTTCATTTACAATCTAAGGCCGCCCATGTCTCCTGAGCTCAAGGTCTTTGTCCCTTTTAATCCTTTGTGGGGCTTCAGCAACTCCGTGGTAACAAGCAGGCGTCTCCATGGAGACCAACGTCAGGCTACTAGTGTCTGTGCCAATGAGCAAGCAACTCTGCTATGTGAGTGTGTGTGTGTGTGTGTGTGTGTGTGTGTGTGTAGAAGGTGGGGGTAATGTGTCCGTCACTTCCTGTACCCCACCCGGAAGACCCCACAGGACTCAGGAAGAGGTGCTTTCTGCTGGTGGAGCCTCCACTGCTGCTGCTGCCTCCGACTGTGCTGCTTGACCGCTGGGGGCTATGGAGACCTGGGTGGGGGTTTTGGGTGGGGCGAGTTGCGGGACGGTTAGCCGTACAGGGTGCTGTGGTAGTTGCTGGGCCACCGCCGCCGGCTTGGCCAGGATGAGGTGCTGTGTGGGCCGGCTTGCTGTCAGCTGAAAGGTGGGGGAGCCGCCGGCCTGCTTGGGCTGGAAGAACTGCGGGATCTGGCCCGACGTGTTGGCCTGCATTAACGTGGCGAGCTGGCTGGCCGGGATGGTGATGATCGTGATCTTCTCTCCCGCTTTGGAGCCGGCGGGCAGCATGGTGGGCAGAGCCTGGATGACCAGTTTAGGAGGAGCACCGGCAGAGGCATTGCCTAACGTCACCGGGACCCCCGTCGCTGTAGTGAGGATTGAGGAGGAGTTCAAGGTCATCTGACCCAGAGAGTTGGTCATGACCACTGGCATGGCTCGGAGGGGCCTGCAAAGGGAGGAATACTTATTACACAGCAGGGGCAGCACATTATATATATATATATATATATATATATATATATATATATATATATATATATATATATAAAGGCTGTCAAAAGATTAAACGAAATAATTATTCATTTTTTAATTATAAAATTGTATCTCACATTTTTAAATGCATTAATCAAGATTTAATCTCTATTAAAGTGTTTTTTTCTAAAGACTTAATCTTATAATTAAATAGTTAATGAGTAATCACTTTAGAAAAGTGCGTTTTACACACTTGATTGTATTTTAAACACACAACCTCACACATTTGATCATCTTGCAGGCAGAATTCCACCAGGTGGAAAATGTTGAACTGGAGACTCTTCCTTCTGTCCTCGTGCACTTTGCTCTCAACTCTCCCTCATTCCACGACTGTGTTTGAAGCGCCAACAATCTCCCCACATTTAGCAGGACGTTTACAAACCACGGTCTTATAGGGACACCGTGGCGGTCCTCTGCACACGGTGTGCCGCGCAGGGTAACGTTAGATGTTGGGATGGAAGTAGCCTAGCAGCTAGCTTAGCATAGCGGTGCTTTAAGTGGTCCGTTTGTCACTCACCCCCCTTTCTGTTTGACACATGGAGGAATTTCTCTGCACAGTTCTGTGCTGTGTGTCGCGCCGCGGTTTGCTTTACTTCCGATGCAAAAAGCCCTTTGTCTCTCCGATCTGACTGACTGCAGCACGCAGCAATTTTGTGTCGGGTCAACGCACTAAAACATTTTATCGCCGGTGATCTCGGCATCAATAATTGCATAGATTAACGCGTTGTACACACACACACACACACACACACACACACATACATACATACGCGTGTGTGTATTTGTGTGTGTGTGTGTGTGTGTGTGTGGCGACAAACAGGACAGAGACCTGCTGCCAGCGTTGCCGGGGATGACTGTGACGTAGGTCGGCTGAGGCTGGGTGGGAGAGTGGGTGCCCAGGCCGGCGGCATGCTGCTTGGTCGGTAGCGTGCCAGAGACCACGCCCTCGCTGTCCTCCACCTCCTCTCCGTCGTCGTCGTCGATCACCCGGATGTTCTGGGGCATCTCTTTGAACTGGTAGGCCAGCCGCTGCCCCTCCACTTTGGCCAGAATGCCGCGCTGGTAGTAATACCTGCGCACACACACATAACATGAGCGGTGTGTCTTCAAACAGCACAGGCTGTGCACTAGTAAAAAGGATTGTTAGGGGGGTGGTGGGGTCGCTGACCTCAGGGCTCGGCCCATGGTCTCGTAGTTCATGTCGGGTTTGTTCTTGTGCTTCCCCCACAGCTTGGACACAGCCTTGGAGTCGACCAGCTTGAAGATGCCCTTCTCCCTCTGCATCCACTTGATGTACCGGGGGCAGGTGTTCTTGTCCTGCAGCAGCTCCAGCAGGAACTCCCACAGATACGTGGTGTTGCCTTGGGGGAACCAAAGCACAACGACATAAGAGCTGGAAGCTTTTAGAAGAGACACAGAATATGAATCTACATTCTGGACACAGATTAGCTCACTCCTTAGAAATGTTCAACCTCCTCCTTAGAAATCAATACATGTAAGAACACTGCTCTCAACACTGCACAGTGCAACAATCAATCCTAAACATAGAATAGAAATACAAAAAGTGAATGTGTGTGTGCTTCGCTGAGCAGTTCAGAGCTGGGACCAACCTTTGCTCTCTCTCGGCCTCTTCTTGATGCCCAGGTCAAAGGAGCCGTTGGAGGCCGGCTGGCTCGTCTTGGGCTTGCGTCCACCTGACACACACACACACAGCGGGTCAATGTGGCCCTATACACACAAAATCGTTATCTCATGCCAATGCTTAATACCTATACCGCACATATTCACTGACACATCTGTTGCACTTCCCTAGTGTGAAGCACCTGGAGGTATGGAGGCATGTAAGCGTGGAGTGCTGAAGGCATGGGGCGGCTTTCATTTAACTAAGCTCTGTAGCCTCCAGCACACGTCTGGTGTGAAATCAGAGGTGTTACAGTGAGACCGACCTCCTCTCTTCCTCTTCACGGCGGGTTCACAGTCGGGAGGGATGGGGAAGGACTCCTCCTCGATGGGGCCGCACTCTGTAGATACCTCCACCACCGTCTCCATCATCACGTCCTCTGCTGGCGGGGTCAAACAAAACACACACATTGTTCCGCTTTCTGCTGGATCGTGGAGGGAAAGACACAGGGGACCCGATGTGTGCTTGTGTGAATCATTAAGGGAACTAGAGCCCCGAGGCCACAAACCAGCTCCTCGCAGGAAGGGACTGACGCACTAACTAGTGTGTGTGTCAGACAACAGTGTCTGTATCTGCGCGCGCGCACACACACACACACACACACACACACACACACACACACACACACACACACACACACACACACACAGTCTCTGAATAAAAGGGGCTGACTGGTGGCCACGCCCACATCCCTCGGCCCAGCAGGAAGCCCTGACGTGCGTTCACCTGTGTTGCGTTCATGGTGCAGTCCTCCAGGAGACTCCATGTGGAGGAGAGCCTCGGCTGCTTCGAAGGTTTTGTCGAAACACACCATGTCATGACTGGACATCTCCACTGAGAAGGGGAGCAGAGACAGGTCGATGCTAACACATGCTAACTGAGGACAGTCGGCATACAGGTCTCCTCTAAGACTTGTTTTCTGGTTATATTCACAACAGTAAACACAGCTATGCTGCTAAAACCTTCACTTTGGATTGTGTCTGCACGGTTCCCCCCTCGCTGCTCGTCCGCGGATTGGTTACATATTTTAAGTTGACCGTCACAATTGTTTTTCTGACGATTGTTATCTGCTGATATTCAGTAAAATACAAAATATGTCATGAGGATATCATTCATTTTATGAAGTATCGGATCATGTTACAATGTGAAAAACCAGTCTGTGATTACATTAACATGAGAGATGGTAACGTTAGCAGCACCGCTAACAGCTAACCAACACAGGTCAGTTACATTGTGATGCGTTCAGGTTCTGCTGTGTAAAAATGACGATTGGTAGAAGGTCAATTCTCAAGATGTGTTCACATGTAAACTAGTAAAAAAAAAAATGTTGAGCAACTTGAATAAAGTTGGTGTTTTTGACGTGAATGCGTGTTGCCAGCAGAGGGCAGCCTGCTGCCGCCACACACAACAGGTGCGACAAGCAGATTCACAGATGAGAGCACGCCAACCGCCAGTCTGAGGGGGACCCCACACATGGGTAATTACCTCATTACCAGTCAGACTTCTGGACTAACTTGGTCTTTTAAAGTTTGAGCAGCTGGATATTTGCCTCCAGCTGCAGTGAGCTGGTTTTAGTGTTCGACGTGAAAACTACAGGATCCAATTTCACCTGTGATCTATTTCTATATTTAAATCAGCTTGAATGCAGTTACATGTATAAATCTAAAGACATCGGTCCTCAGCCCTTGTGAAATTTGTGGTTCATGTGGGTCCATTTACTTCTGTGTTATTTTACAGAAGGCTGTGAGAAGTGCAAATAATAGTCAACTCCAGAAAGTTTTATCTCAAAGCTTTTTCAGCATTGTGTGTAATCCTGATAATATATAACCTAGAAATACATACCCCAATGGTTAGGGGGGAGATTAGTACTTGTAGGATATAGAATACTAGAAGAGAGAAAATCATTCTGTCTTTCTTCCAATTCGTATTCACTCTCGCTCTTCCATTTGGTACCGCCACAACAGGGGGGGCTCTGACTAATAACTGGAGAGGGATGGAAAATCAAAGTGTGCTCTGAACAGAAGTGGAGTTACAGAACATCCTTCGCCAAATGAATCTCACTTAGTGAAGAAAAAAACCTCCCTGACAAAATTCTTTTCCACCACCAAATACCTAATAATAAGTTTTACTGTGATAAAAGCCAGAGAACTCCATACCGGTCTCAGCCACCTCCGTCACCACCTCCTGCTCGTCGGCCACGTCCTGCATCAGGTACATCTCATCGTCGTAGACCACGACCTGTGCCGAGTAGCACTCCTCCACCTGGGCGCTGGCCACTTCCTCCACGATCACCGCGGGACAGCCCTCCTCCTGCAGCAACACACCCTCCTCCTCCTCCTCCTCCTCCTCCTCCACATCTTCCTCCACCTCCTCCTCGCCCTCCACGATCACTGCCTCAATTTCCTGCTCTACCACTTCCTCTTCCTCCTCCTCCTCCTCAGTGTGCGGCTGCTCACACTAGCCGATGGGAAGATGGGAGAAAAGGGAGATTTCTTTTAATGAGGTCAGGTAAAGTCTGTGTGTCTCAGTAACACCGTCCGTGTCCACCAGGAGCTTTTCTCGGACCAAACCGCTACAAATGTCGGCCTATGGGTTTGCCCTTAAACGTTGTGTGTGGGTCACCCTCTTGGCTTGGAGTGACTACTGAATTTGAATAAGGGATCCTTTCTGTCCTGTGGGGTTAGTGTGTGTAATTGCCCTCATGGAGAAAAAGACTAAAGTCCTACTAGGCTGTTTATAGAAATTCAATCCGTCTTACAGAGGGGCATTTGTTTCACCAGAATGTACTGTATTATATGAGGGAAAAATTGTTCAAACAAGTAAAACTAATGGCTTGAACCCTCTCATTTGGACGCGGCATTTGGGAAAATGATTATCACTTTTAATCAACAGCAGTACTAGGATGATTATTGTATTGCACTGATGCTGTCCCAATTGTATATACAAAATAAATACTGCACATGTGTGTCAATGTCTTGCTATTGAAGTTTAATATCAAAATGGAACAATATACAAAAGCCACTGCAGGACAACAAGTTCCTTGATTGTTTTTATCGAACAGAAGACAAACCTCTGGTGTGTTTCTAGCTGCTATTGCACTACAAACAGCCATAATCTGTATTTGTTAAGAGTCATATTGTAAGAGCGAGAAAAGGCCCATGGTTTCATGACTATATGACCATTATATTGCACAAACGAAATGTCTTTCATAATAACAAATTAAAGCAACAACTCCTTTGCCACTATAATCATCGCTTCTATAAAATAAAAATAACCAATAATATAAACTTTACACCTAAAAAACACTTGTCTTAAAGGTACTCTCATTCATTTGTTTGCCATTTTCCATTCAGCAGTTGCCCATTTCCTATTTAGAATGCTGTCACGTGTTGTTATGCATTATCACCTGGATGAGTACAAACAACAAAACCACGTGCGGACCTTTGGTCACCACACCGGGCTGTGTGCGCTGAAAGGAGGCTTACCTGCTGGAGCTCCTCCACCACGGTGACATACTCCACTATGTTCCCTCCACCATCTGACACCACCACAGAGGTCATCACTCATTCCTACGAAACAAGCACGTACATGGGGTCAGGATGGAGAAGAGTCCGAGATCCATCCAGCGCGGGGAACAGAAGAGGCCCCCCACTCCACCCCCCGTGTCGTTGGGTAAACGCCAGCACGACACACATCGCACAGCCGCCTCCCCGAGCCGAGACCCCGCGCAGCTTCTCCGCCACACGGGCTCGTGTTTACTTCCTGAGCGGGCGGCGCGTCTCCTGCCGCACACACTCCGCGGCTTAACGTCCACGCGCCCGCCGCTCGCTCAGCCCGCGAGCCGTCGCGCCCGCTCGCGTGGTGCACTTGGTCGCGTAGCGTCGCACATATTTGCTTCGTAAAAATGAACAAAACCACCGCATTGTCCTTAAAAAGAGGCGACCGCCCACTAGCAGATAGCACAGCAGAGGCTAACTAGCATTAAGTTTAGTGAGCGAGCTCGAAACAGTTGACGTTAGCAGGCGGCTAGCAAACATGGATATCGCACTTCGCGTGTAACAGCTAAGTTAGGAGTAACCGGTCCCCGACCGATCCGCAGGCCGCACCAGGACGTCTGCGCACGTCGCCGGTGTATTACTGCGATGAGTTTGCGCCTCCTTACCTTGTTTTGCTTTGCTCGTCAATAGAAGAGCTCGCGGCTAACGCTACCGCGGCCTAACGTTAGCCGAGCTGTCAAGGCCAAATGCTGTCTTTGCTCGCATAAAACAAGTGTTTGCACGTCCTCCGTCCCTTAAAACCTCCTCAGCAGGCACGTATCACCTTCCCCCGGTACGATCTGCGGACAGAGGGGACGCGGACCGCGGTCCCGAAGTTGTGTTTTGATGGCAGCTCGTCTCCTGCTATCCTGTAGCTTTCCGGCGCGTCGCCTCTTCGCTGCAGCGGATCCAGGCGGGTCACGGCACAGACCGCGTGACGTCACGACGGCACAACTCCACCGACAATGGGCGCAAACTCGTACGCGCTTGTTTGTGTAAACGCGTGTATCGAAAGTTACATATTAACTTCCCCAAAAATGGTTTAATTACACAAACAGTCGTACCGATGAAATAACAGGTACGACCATTGATCAAATAATTGAATAGGCCCGCAAAAGCTCATATTAATGTGATTATCAAAATATAGCTTCGGCTTTTTTTCAAATCCATCTGAAAACAATGGGAATGCACAATGAACCGCTGCCCCGCGTATACAACTCTGATTAATGTGCTTCTAATTGTAGAAAGGAGTGACAAAATCCAGTATAAAATCCAAAAGAAATATGTGAAATATTGTAATGGGAAGACGTTTAACTGCTGTATCTTGATACTTTTTTATGCACTCAGGCACGTTATTCACATGCAAAGTACACAACTCTTATGCTGGAAAAATGTAAATGTATAACCTACCTGCAAAACTGTTATTAACTATTAGGATTTGTAATGTTTTCAAATCAGTTCACCCTTGAAAGCAGGTGGATGTCAGGTATGCAACGTTAAAGGCATTACACATTTACCAGAATGGGGCTAACATGAGGTCACAGTGACCTTGACCTTTGACATCCAAAGGGAGGCTGCTCTTGAATATGGGCAGTTTGATGAACATTGCTAATATTTGATATTAATAATAATTAGCATCATTCTTATTATGGAAGTCTATTCAATATGTGAATAAATTATATATATACATATATATATGTATATTATTACTAGGTCTGAGAAAATAAATTACTGCACATTGTCCATATGGACACTATAGGCTGGTAGGAACTAACGAGACACAAGTAAAATAAATCATCAGCTTGTTTAGAGGCTCCACATTTAGTGATGCCCTCCTATCTTTAATCCTAGAGGCCTTGAAGCCAAATGGCTGCCTTACTCTTAATTGAACAAACTAATGCTTGCTGTGTCTGTACTGTATATAACAGAAACTACAGCCAAGCTAGTAGTCCAGTCACTTAAAAGCAGCAGGAACTAAAGCAAACTCATTCAAATCAACTTGGAAACAGCAGAAACAACAGCCTAAGGAAGAAGATACTTAGTCCGGTCTCAAGTAGTCTGGTTGTCTGAAAGCCCCAGTAGTCAAAATGCACACCAGTGTATGAATGCATGTGAACTGGTGAAGGAAGACATGTAGTGTTGAAGCGCTTTGAGTGGAGCACTAAAAAAGAGATGTTGAAAGAAGTACAGTCCATTTACCATTTGAGCACATTACATTACAGGTCATTTAGCAGACGCTTTTATCCAAAGCGACTTACATTACACTTTAAACCCATGGCTTTTTCATGCCATCAACATCTGAATATAAGTCATTAACCTCCCAACCCCCCCAGTAATAAACAAAATAAACAGCTGCAAAGAGAGAGGTGACAAAACAAGCTCTCTTATTGTTAGCTTGCCGTTGGTTAACGTGCCAGAGGAGACACACATGCGAGCAACATCACATTAACAAAACAACACAGGTTAGATTGGCTTTATACTTGTTCTGGGTACATTCCATTTGAACCAATGTGATTGACCACCAGCAAACAAACTAACGCATCGGATTGACATGTTATTGATTATTGGTGCTCTTCAGTCTGTCGGCCATGCCCACTTAAAACTAATGAGAAGAGCACAGAGTAAAATACAGACATCTTTAATATTCATAACTGAAACAAATCTAAAAAAAAAATAAACTGCTAGAAATGATCTTTCAGTATGGGCGGGTCCCTCTGGGATTAAAATGGGAGTGTGTCCAGTGCCCCAGACTCCCTTTAGAACAGCTCTCATTTTTACGCAGCAGGGTCTGCTCAGTCGTGCTTCTAGGCGCCGCGTCCCCTCCATCCAGCAGGCCCGACAAATTGGACCCGGGCCCGTTAACAGCAGGGATCAGAGGAGCCACAAGGCTGAGCTCTGCTCCTGGTCAGAGGAGGAGCCCCTCCACACCGGGCTCGTCTGCCGGGGTTGTTTCTGGTGAACTTGTATGATATTGGTCATGCCTGGAAGCAGATGATAACTATGTACGCAGGTGGGGTCCTTGTGTCGCTCTTTTAGAAGCATCGGTATTGAGGTGAGATGTTTCCCCACCAGTTAGAAGTTCCTCACAGTACGTTTAATTAAAGGAGCAGCGTAGGACATCGTCACATCTCCATTACAAGCAACTAAATACTCCTCAAATCAGCAATGTGATGAGAACTACAGTGTTCTTCAGATATGTATAGGCATTTTAGGAGCTTCTAGGAGCTAATCTGACCTGTATTCTGTTCAACTTTACGACTCAATGTTTGTGCTCGTTGAACTGATTTGACAAAATGTGGATTTTTCTACTCCCAAAAGTGTAAATGCACAGTAGCGAGCACAGTTGTCTCCACTATGGCATCTCAGCTTTAATCGGTCACATTTTCACTCAGCCTACTCAATCAAGTGGTTCTGGTGACTTTACACCACAATTTTGTCAATTTAGGGAGGGGCAAGCAGTCAAGCCAAAATAGTACAAAAATAAATAGACAACACACAAATCATGTTTAGTCCCACTTTATTTAGCAAAAAACAAGAAAAACTGTATTATGGGAAAGATTCACAGTTTCAGTTCAGTTCCTTTGCTAAGTCAAAGGCATCGTCCTACTACAAAAACCTGCCTGCGAGCAACAAAGACTGACAAGTGTCATTTTCTGATCCCATTTGCATTACAGAAATGCACACGAGTTTCAAATCTTCCCTCAGTAACTTCATTTCAAATACTGCTGACACAAGAGAAAAGACGGCAACAGGAGCCGTCAAAGCATTTCACACGGGACCCTTGACCTCGGACACATACACGTGCATTTGATGTCGCATATCTGAAAACATTACGGTTCATATCTGCTGTGAAAACTTTAGACCACACAACACAGTTCTGACTGCTAGAACAATAATAGCCACGGGTGGAAGAACATGATTCTGCTCATCGTCTTCCCTAACCCACGAGCTAGATTAACAGGGCTACTCAGTGAGTAGAGATGAATGACTGACAAGGAGAAACAGGGTTTAGGCTAAGTGTAAAGTCATTGCAATGTAATATCAGGAAAATGTCCAATATATTTCATACATTCATTGTATAATCATGTACAATCTACAAAATTGAGTAACAACGTCCGCTAAAGGAAACTCAATATCTGCTGCTTTCAAACTTGTAGGTTTGTTTCATGGCCACATTCCCCAAAATCCCGGAGGTCACAACTGGTGTCTTCAAGCAGCCATCAAGGGGAAGAACACAAAATGTGACGTAACCAATTTTGAGAGCAGCAGCAGTTTCCCCTCCATGTTTCAGGGCCCGCTGGAGAGAAAAGCTTGGTGTGCTCATCCTACAGACGCCTGTAGCATTGAGCTTTACAAGAGGAGTTTGGATTATCCAATGACAGCTTTTGAAATAAAGAAATGATGTGCTTATCGAAGTCGGAGGCTTAGCAATGGTGTTGTTGGCTTGGGAAGTGTAACCTTTGTGTGACTGCATGAGAAGAGGTCGGTAGTTTCATTATTAAGGAGTGAAAACACAAGGATCGGTGAGGTAGATTCTGTACAAAGGGGCTGCTGTGCTCCAGGTGTTTCTTCATAACAACAGTGCAGCAGGTGTTTTCCAGCTGTTCAAACCAAGAAGCAGAAGAAAAATCCTGAGCGCTGGTATTGTAAAGAATGCTGATGAAGTAAACACCCCTTCAACCCTAATACGTCTAAAACTACAAGTTTGTTTTGAGAGAGTAAACACTGACGGTGACTGAATGGCTCAATTGAAGTGACACAAACTGCTATTTAGGCTACTAAGAGATATACTGTACCAGAGATGTGTTCACCTACTGACTGGGGTCATCTACTACAGATTCAAGATATGCAGGTTGGTGTGGCGGGGCACAGTAATGGGCTCACATGCCGGTTTAATGGCTCAACAAAGTGGGCATTGAACACTGTGCAGTATGTGCGTATTTACACAGGAACTATGTGTTAGTCAGTTTGGGTTTCTTTTGGTTAAAAAGGAAGGGAAAGAGTTGGAAAAAAGGCACGTCCATCCTCTTCTGCAGGAAAGAAAGTCATCATCCAGGAAGCTGCTTACTGTGATGAAGAACAGAAGCACAAAGGCCAGTGAGCAGTGCGCTTACATGAACACATTCCAATAAAAAATAAACTAAAACCTATATTGTTATTAACATATTTTCACCTGACGCATAGGAATGTAGCTATGAAGGGTTGGAATGTTTAGTTTTAATAAGTGCGTCATGTCCACAACATGCTCTAACTGCCACTGTAGAAATACATCAAAGGCTCAGTACCTCATTTGGAACTACTGCATTTGCATCCTAAGAAGGCGTCGCCTACCCTGGGTAGCACAGTTTAAAAACCCATGTTAGAGATGGTTTCTAAGCTACTATATATAATTAAGAGCATTCTGATAATAACTGTTCTTTAAACCCTTTCTCAAAACACTGCAATACTGAAAGATAGATTAATCCATGTTTCTTTTTTTATCATATGTCCCATCTGAGGTTACTCCCCAAAAAATCGGATTATCTGATACCTCAGAAGCAGAGACGTCGTCGTCTGGAGTTGGGATGATTCTACCAGTCATGGACTCCACTCCAAGCACCTTGGGTGACTTATCAGCTTTAGGTGTTCCTTCCAGGACCACAACAATGTACTCTCTCTTCGGAGCTTCGGCAAGGGTTTCAGTAGCCGCTTCTTCAACCACCAGAGGGGTCGCTACTTCTGCAGCGATGGTTGCCAGAGCCTCTTCATCAACTGCGGTGGTGACTGGTTCTTCAGCAAGTGCTGTGGTAACTTCAGGTTCAGATGGTACCAAGACTTCCTCAACAACTGGTGCAGCCTCTACTGGTGCTGGGGCCTCTTCAACAACTGGTGCAAGCTGCTCTACTGGGGCCTCTTCAACAACCTCTACTGGTGCTGGGGCCTCTTCAAATGGTGCAGCCTCTACTGGGGCCTCTTCAACAACCTCTACTGGTGCTGGGGCCTCTTCAACTGGTGCAGCCTCTACTGGGGCCTCTTCAACAACCTCTACTGGTGCTGGGGCCTCTTCAACTGGTGCAGCCTCTACTGGGGACTCATCAACAACCTCCACTGGTGCTGGGGCCTCTTCAACTGGTGCAACCTCTACTGGTGCTGGGGCGTCTTCAACTGGTGCAGGCTCTAAAGTGGCCTCTTCGACAACTGGTGCAGGCTCTACTGGTGCTGGGGACTCTTCTGCTGGCTTGGTAGCCTCCTCAACTGGTGCAAGGGACTTATCGATGTCCTGAATGGCTGCGGCTAACTCTTCCGTCACTTCAACGATCTTTGGTACTTCTAGAGCAGAAGCAGCAGCCAGCGGCACTGAAACACAAAATTCAGCCATCCAAACATCACTGATGCTGAAGGTGTATATTTTTTCTCACATTACGTTACCTGGTTTTACCAAATTGAGTGCCAGCTAGTCTGTGTGGGGGATTGTGACACCAAGTGTAATCTCAGCACCCAGCAGTGAAGAATGAGAAATGGCCAATGTGCAATAGGAAAGCAGAGATAGTCGCTAAGGGCGTTGAAGTAGAGCCATAAACCAAGGAGGACCTTCCATAGAGTAGGAAAATACTCTTCCTTGTGGTGGAAAAACGTGCATTTCATATCCACCAAAACATAATGCTGTGCTGATGTGCATTAGTTGTGCAGAGACTGGGAGGAATGCAAGTGGAGCATTCTTTAGGTCATTGTGCACATGACAAACGTGCAGAAGGTAGCGTTGCGTCCTGAACGACGGGTCAGTGACTTGGCCGCAGAAAGCAGTGAGGGACACTGCATATGACAAGGCGTTTATGAAGTGTGCATTTTAATCAAGCTGACATGCTTAAGAGAAAGTTTACATCTAAGGGTTCCATGTAGATTTACATTCAATACACAATATTTTGGACTGGAATGGATTGATAGAAAATTTCCTTACTTACAAACTCTTGTGACTCTTAAAACAAATTAAGATTAAAAGACCAATTCAGACAAATTAAAGACGGCAGTATACCTTTCAACTTTGATAAAGGTTTTATTAAGTGGCTTTATGACTCTAAAATGTTCACAGTTATAAGTCAAATAAAAATATGATCACATGTGGGTTAAATCCCCCGATGAGTTGTCATGAGATTCACATTACTGAAGATAAAAAAATAGCACACTGCAGAAGTTACAGAGTCATCTCATTTTGCTGTAGGATAAACACAACTACTCTGCGACACATGGCGAGAAAGTACAACATTAGAGGGTTATAATTAAATACACTGTCAAACCGCCTTATGGCCTTCATAGCCAAAAGATACCAGTGATAAAACTGTATTTGAGGGCCAATTCTCAACTCCCAGCTACCGGTGTGTGATCGGTTGAACTAAATAAATATATATATGTATATATGGCAAAGTCAGCTCTTTTCTATTCCTGTTAACTTTGGACACAAGTTCACAGTGATCACATTTATTTCACCCATAACTGCAAATGAGTCAAATAAAGACATCTTTGCCACTTTGGAAATGTTTCGCTGTGGTGTGCAGCTGTGGGCCAGGAGGAACCTGAGGAGGTTATAATCTGAACAAATATAGACATTGCACACGCCGGTCTACGCTGCACACCAAAAGAAAAGAAATGTTTCATTTGTACAATGCTGGGCTCAATAGCCACTCCAATAAATATGAGAGACAATGATACACAGCTTAAGGAAGACAAAGAGAATGATGCACCGGTGGGGAATCCAGGCCTCGAGGAGAAGCAGCTAACCTCTAGTGGTTCTATCAGTGTGATCAGTGGCTCTAATTTGAGTGGTTTAGACATGGTTAAGTGTTTGTCTGTGTGTCTTCCTATAATGACTTAGAGCTTCAGGCCTCAGAGGCGGCGGCCTCCTCCTCTACCAGCTCAGGTGAAGAAGTCGTACCGTTGCTGTCGGGCTCCTCGGCGGCTAGTTCTGCGGCGGCTTGGGGGGCGGCTTCGGCCGCCTTAGCCACCTCTTCCGCGACCGCCTCCACTTCACGAGCGACCTCTGTAACTTCCTCTGCCGCCTCGGCGACCTCCTCCGCCGCCTCAGCAACGACCTCTGCAACCTCGGCCACGATCTCTCCTTCGCCATCAGCGGCAGCCTCCTCTTCGCCGGCCTCCTCAGCTGCCACTTCCTCCTCTCCAGCTGCCACTTCCTCCTCTCCAGCTGGAACACAGGAAGCAGAAGGCGCGCGTTGGCCAGAGACACCATCACGTTCTCCTGCAGGGAGCAGCCCGCCTCCCTCAGCGGTGCTAATCAGTGTGTTCCACAAACGCGGCATGTTAAAAAATAAAATAATATCAGCCCAAAAAAAACATCCCTCTTTTCAAATATGAAATATTTTGATGAACAGTTTAAAAAGCGACATAATTCTGGGATATTATTGTGTTCGCGGTAGCTAGGTTTCCATCCGGTGTTTTATGAACAATCATATGTGGTAGGGCTGTCACTATAGGAGGAATTTAGTTTATCATGTCTGTCCAAAATATCATCTCTTATAAATACGTCATTATCAGCATAGCCGGCATACGATTTGTGATGTCACGTGACAGATTTGCGTCAAGGTGAACCTTGTGAGTGCCAAATGGGAAAGAATGGTCTACTAGGTGTTTAAGTATCGGGTTGATGAACGCTCTGTGGGCTCCATCGGGATAGTTTGTACAGTTCCGTGGCCTCAGCGTCTCATTTATTCCAACGTTTATCTTTTTCTGGGCGACAGCTCTACAATGTGGATGAAAAAAAGATGTGTGCTGAATATCTTTGTCAAAGATAAAGGGTGGTTGGATGTCAGGTGCTGCCAGATGGGTTAAAATACAGATGTGCAACTCTCCCTAACTAAGGGAGGGGGGGGTTACACGCGCCTGAGCTCTCATCTGCAGATCGCACTGAGGTGTGAAAACGATCCACACTGGTCATGAAATCATCGTCCCCCGAGAGGAGAGAGGAGGACCACCAGCCCACAGTCGGAGTCCAACAATCAAGATATTTCCACTTAAAATAAAGGCAGACTACTGTGTGGGGGGGGGAAAGAAGAATAAGACAAGCTTTGTAAGCAGCCATATTTTAAACTACTCTGAGCCGTAGTAACTAACAGGGGACTTTTATTGTGAAGTCTTGAAAGTAAATGAAATTACATTACAGGTCATTTAGCTGACGCTTTTATTAAGTGTAACACGTCAGACTAGGTAAAATGACACGCATGGGCAGTTGGATGGAAACATAGCTACTAGTAATAGGCTGAGCCAGAAGTGCTTCTTCTAGAAAAGCCACTTTAACCCCCTCCGCCCCCCCAACAGTCAATCATTATTAAGAAAAAACAAACATCTGATTCACAACACTAAACTACATGCAAACCAAGGACAGGGAGGAACATGACGGGGGGACGGAGGGGAGGGTTGCGGGTCAAGGTGCAGGGTAGAAGGGGGGAAGTTGAATCTTGGTTCTTACCATCCGATTAACAAACTACGTGCTACCTGGAGCTCCGACAGCAGGTCATCCACATTGACCATCAGCCAACCCCCCCGAGCCGTGGGAGTCCCGAGCAACGACAGTTTCAGCACACAGGTAAAATCATCGAGACCCGAGTGCACTCTGCCGAGGTGCGACATGGAAAGGAACCATACCAACTGGGTCGATGCTGTGGCCATCAGTGGGAATCACTTCAATGTTAGAATATTACAATAGCATGCTTATTGCTACATGGTGGAAGCTGGGAGGGAGTTATAATATGTATAATCTGTATTTTTTTTAAATAATACATATTATTTATTTTGTTCATAGGAACAGTGCCGATTCATCACTAGCGCTGACAGACAACTGCTTCAGTTTGGGATCCGGTTTCCGCTACGAATGAAACGGTTCCCGTCTAGAGTTTCATCACCAGGTAATACAACGGTGGCTTGTATTCATTCACCTGGGACTTTCCAGCAGTGGACACCCTGACCTTCTCTATAAAGAGTTTACCTCCTTGTGGAAAAAACGATGTCTGGGATCCATATCCAAGGAAGAGATTCTATCTGCTATAAATGATTTTATTCTTCATGTGACGCTATTTTCAGACTGGCAAACAAGACTTACTACTTACTGACAAACAGGTTAACCAACTCAATAAATAGCCATTTATTTGAATTATTTTTGAAGTGGCGCTTTGAGGCTTCAAATACAGTTGCTATTAAACTCCTCACCAGATACACCTACAGCACACGTTCACACCAAAAGGTGGCCAATGCTCGCAACAGCGCATGCTAACGTGTTGGATATTAATGCAAAGCTTTACTCAAAACGGTTAATGTCCATTTAAAAGAAATCCTTTTTTTGTTCTTCAAACCAGACCGGTGTTGAACAGCGATGAAGTCCATTGAACCACTGAAAATCCAGACACGTCTGTGAGGTCCATTTATTCTCTTCAAGGGGTTACACTTTACATTTAGCAGCCAGAGGGGGGTCGGGGGGGAAATGAAGAAAGTTGAAGGGAATCAACATCCTTCCCAGACTTGTCCCACGGTTTAAGGTTGAGTGAAGCACTCGTTCTTTCTTATTGGGGGAGGAAGGAGAGGATGTGGGGGGAGGGGGTCCCTTTTCAGAATCCAGTTCTAGGGGGGATATCCATGCGGCCACAGAGGACCTTAGCTCTACCTTTACACTGAAAAGAGCAAAGACACAGAGAATTAGAGAGAAGAAAACCCCTGTTCACTTTACACAAGGTCATTGTTAAACTGATAGTCAACCACAGAAGCTGTGCGGGTGGGAATTAGCAAAAATCACAAAGGATGAGCTGCTAGGCTGCTATGCTCTGGTGAGCTAGATGAGAAGAAGCTTTAGTCGCAGGCAGTTCTGTGACAGTCACCAGGTGGTCTCACTTGGACCAGATGTTCAGGGACAATGGGATTGTTTTCCTTTCTTCTGAACCTCTTATTAACACAGAGAGGTAAATGGGAGACGATGAAGGAGCAACCGGGGATTGAGTGCTATCAAAGGAAGGGACTGATAGAGACTCCAGCCCGATCCCAATGTCACCTTAAGGCCTCCAGGACTTACTCAGCCCCCCGCTAGATGGTTGAGAGGGAGAGGCTCTTAGAGCAGAGATACAAATGGGACAGCGTCTAGCTGCGACATATGGTGTTACCATGACGATGTCATAATACGTTTAATACGTCCTTTTAAAAATAATTATTATTGTCTCTTTTTGAAGGTAATTATTTTGATTCAGTTTAGTTTATGTAATTTAATATTTTTATCTTATTATATTATATATAATGTGTATCTTTTTATTCTATTCTTCCCTGTACATGCTGCTGCGATAACAAAATGATCTATCTATCTAATACGTTATGTACTATCTATAACCGATTTGAACGCCCTCCAGGCTCTCTCCTCAAAAGACGAAAGTTATTCCTCAGACTATCAGTGATGTCACTAAATAAATCAATCAAAATCAATAAATATGAAATATAATATGTGTTTCATGGTTCATTTTTCTGTGTAAATGATCAGCCGGAAGTTGCCAGCTTCACTTTCAACATCACATGGCTGTGAATGATGGGAAATTTCCATAGAAAATGTGTTCATTAAGGGCCCGAAATGTTTTTAGCAGAGAGCCCTGAACCACTGGATGAGTCGACATTGGGACTGAACTAAACATGGTCGTGGAGATTGGGATTGGGGCTGAGCCTTCAGGCCAGTGGGGGGAAATTCAGGAGTTGGGTCACCTGGGAGGACAGAACGGTCCAACTGGGACCGGCCAGAGTACAACCATGCTCTATAAAGATGTTATGGATGAATATGGGAGGCGCCAAAGCTCAGGATGCTCTACGTGAATGATGTACATGGATTTATGTTCCTTTAACAAATCATAGAAGCTCAGTTGATGTTTCTATTTCCTGAGAACCTTTCTCTCCTTTATCCTCTTCTTATATCATACAGACTGAACTCACCAGCAGAATCCATTACTTCACTTCGGGTCAGTCGGGACTGACTGATATCCTTATTTCTGAGTCGTGCTCATAACCTGCCTCCCTCTCGTTGGTTCATAAATCACCAAACTGACGGCCGCAGTGGAAACCTATGACACGGTTTCAATTCTAATACTATGTAACAAGTAACTTTACCAGTCAGTCTCAAACAAAGTACTGTGCCTTCACTCCCAGGCCTGGTAAATCAAATCTGCTGCAACATTACTTCAATGAAGCAAAACTTCATGGTTGTCAGGCAGTCATTTTACAAACGGTACATCCTTCATGTCCTTGCAGAAAGGGTGCTAAAACCAAGAGTGCACCTTAATGTCCATTTGCCCCGGTCACCCAACAGCACTTTTGTGTGTGATCGACCGGAGGCGAATATTAGCCATTCAGTGGGAGTCAAATGTGACCCTTTTCACCAATGGAAGACAAATAAGTCAACCATGAATATCAACGTTAGCTCTTTAGTCTGCAGCTCGCAAATGGCCCTCACAATCATTGGCTCATTGCCTAACTACCTCCCGGCTGTCGACGGGCTAACCGTGGAACCATAAGAGTTAACATGCACAGTGATTAGTGCCATCACAGAGTTAGGTTAGTGACAGGAGGCCTGAGAAGAGACGCCCATCACCGAGTCCCCTTGAGCCCCAGACAGCGTGTGAGTGAGCATTCAGCAAGTGTTCAGTGTTACTGACAGGAAGTCCAACGGAGTGAGACCACTTACCCTCTTCCTCGTCCCTGCCTGCAAGCAAACACAGACATCACTTCAGATCCACGTCGTAGACCGCAGCTACGGTTCCATCAGCAGCTCACTTCTTAGCTTTGCTTTTTCAAAAATGATATTAATTGTGGAGTGGAGATTTCATTTGAAAATCCAACATTTGTATAATTGGTTACCAGTTTTGTCCTTAATGGAGCAGCAAATACATTCCCTTATATACTTGTTATAATCTTGAATTATAGCGTGAAAAGAGAAAGTTTGGACAATGGCAGAGCTTAAAGAAAAGGCTTGAGGCCGTGGGGGTACGTTACGTGAGTGAATGTCCAGCAGTGTTGCACTGAACACAATTCTGATTATTTTGTTCATTTGCACGAGCTGCAATTGCATGAATTATTCTCATCACTGTTAAAAGTGCAATTGTGTGCATAGGTTCCGCCCCCGTTATGTACATTAATGTCCATTCTGGGACTTTACAAGGAGGACCAAAATGTCCTTGGTCAGTTTTTAATGGGGTAGTGGTGTTGTTTAGTCAAGTGAGGAGGACTTACTCTTGGGGGGCCATGGTTTAGGCACCCACTCTGTCTTGGGTCTGGCATTGATTTCAGAGATGCGGTCGTTGAACCTGGCTCCGTCTGTGCTCAGGGTGTTGTATGCCTATGAGAGGACAACCAAAGGGGGAATCCCATCATTTCCACTTCCTGACACTTTGAAATCAGGGTCATTTTATGAGATCATTGGTCATCTGTAGGGACTTGATGGGTTTAACCTTAGATGAGGACACACTGATGAACATTGTTAAGTAGAGGGTAGTATTGTTATAGCATTGGAATGAAGAAATATAGTTAGATAAAATGTGACTTACGTATGCCACCGAGCCAACAAAGACTCCTCCACACATTAGAGCGTAGACGATATTCTCCCCAGAACCACCAGGAATTGATGACATCGGTCGCCGCTGTACAACTGGAAAGGATTCAAAAGGTTACGTGTTAGGAGCGGCCTCAAACCTGCCATTAATTATGGGACAACTAGAGGCTGGTAATTGCTTTCACCACTGCTCATTGGGCAGCTTACGATACGATACGGCTGCTAAACTGATACTTTTAGAACGATACGGGTGCCTAAACGGTGCCTGAACCAATGCTTGAAAAAAAAAAAGAAAAAAAGTACAAAACAAAAGAAAGGATTTTTTTTTTTTAATAAAATGTTTCAAGTACAGATTTGAACTTTTTAACTTGAACAATATAGGAACTGTTTACAGTATACTTAGTGTTTCCCCTCTGTAAGAGCCGGAAGTGTACGCATTAGTTCAATGGTATTTGGGGAATATTTAATTTGAGATTTATGCTTATTGTGCAGGAACGATATGTAACATTGAAAAGCATTTATGTTGTTAGCTGCATTGGGCACGACAGCATATGGTTTTCTACCGTGTGACAAAAATATATTCATTATATACTTTGTTAACGCTTTGCTGCGTAAAATGAAGACGAAAAAAAATGATCTCCTTTCATAAAGCCCTCTGAGGCAAACTTTGTCATTTGCAATTTTGGGCTATACAAAATAAAATGAATTGAAGTGAATTCTCATGAGGAAATTGAGTCACGTGTCTTGCAGCTCCATGTGTTTTATGACGAACTACACTTGAGTGGACCCTTGCTGCACCCTCGGTTTAATAGGGTGTGGGGGGCCATCCGACAGAAGAAGGAGGGGGGGACCATGTCATGTTCAAAGTCGCTTAATCCCTTCTTCCATTTTGATGCTTGGTTTGAACTGCAGCAAGTTGACCACGTCTACATGCCTAAATGCATCGATTTGCCGTCAAAGTTCACGTTGACCGTGCACTCACTCGCACATTTGGTTTGTTGTTCGAGAGAGTCGAGTGCCGACGCGTCATATCATGAACACTATTTTACATAAAAGGAGTGAATGCCATTAATTAGCTGTAGAAATGAACCAGAGGTTGGCCGAAGGTGGTTTGTGCGTTGTAGTTCTGCAGGGTGGGGGCATTAAACGCTTTCTGTTCTCAGGAACTAATCCAGCGTGCAAAGCTCTGACACAAGTCCCCGCCACAGCGATATTTATACCGGCTAATTGGCTAAAGCAAGCTCTGTCATGTTAAGAGGTCAGGAGGATTAGACCATGATAGCCTCCTCTTTTTAACTGGGGGAGGACACAACGGTGTACATTGCACAATGTAACCAACATTATTAGAGATATGAGACTAGAAAAACAAACTCCTCCTGATAATTTCTTTTTAAGCGCTTTTTGTTAGGATGTAGAGGCCAGAAACGGTCTGTACCGAGTGTCTTGCCCAAGGGCACAGGCACCGTGGGCTGGCGGGTATTGAACCACCGATCCTCTGAGGACGCCCCGTAGTGCTGGTGTTCTATACGTAACCTACATGTTCACTTGCTGAAGTTGTTGCGGACGCGGTCATGTGACGTGGTTAGCGTCAGAGATCGAGAGGTGCGTTTCAGTCGCAACGCGGTCACACGCACGCGCCATGTTTCCACGCCCACGTGCCTCCCGTAAAGGTCAGACACGAACGCGCTCTAGATTCACTTACCTGACCAACTTAACCTCACAGAGAAGCGGGGGTACAACGCAATAAATGATCACGTCATTGAATAATGATGGGGGGGGGGCTGAAACCAGCTGGCCAGCGGCGTACAGCTCAACCCGGATTAAATTGTCATTATGAAACACTCCACACAGGTTATCATAGCATATCCAAAGGTCAACGAGGAGCACGCTACACACGAGAGACACACACTTTAGCCATAAGAGACACAGTAGTACAACGCAAACCTACAACCTCGCTTCTGCCCCCCCACCTCGAGTTGACCTTCACATCCAATGGGCAGCCATTGCCACGGTTTACGTCAGTGGAGGCACGAGGACAACGTGTTCTAATCCAGTGGCTTCCATCAGGAGGCAGCGGGTGACACGAGGAAACGTCGCGTTTAGTAGCGTGTAGGTGTTGCATAAATGAACAAATAATAACACACATTTAGATGTGCGTGGCGCTCACGTACCGGTGATGACAACTTACCGTCCCGGGGCAGCCGGTAGGCTGCTTTCCGTGCCAAAGGGCCACACTTTAGCCAGGCCGCTCTGCAGGAAAACATCGCTGCTGTCCGTGCTGCGGTGGAGGGTCGGGGGGAGAAATGCCGGGGCTTCAGCAAGTGCTGGAGGAATGAATAGCCGGTCTGACTGTGGTCTGGTCAGAATACGTGTGCGAGGAGGAGGCGGCCGCACGCGCTTTCTGTTGCGCAATGTGCGACGCCGTTGTATGAAGGGTACTTAGTGCCGCAGAAAAGGAGATAGGTGAGTTGTATGAGGTGTCGTTTGAACTCCGGAGAAGGAGCTTCAACACATGTTAAACTGATGAAGATGGAGATACTGATTAAAGGGTTTTATTGTCATTGTAGTGCTGTATCGAAATTTCTTCAGCCCTCAGCCAGCTAGCAGCAGTAAAGAATATTATTATTATCAACAATAACACAAAATACATAAGATAAATACACAGAATGAATTAAGAGCGTTACCAAAGTAACAGTGCAAACAGTGCAGTGTAAGCATTTTTTTTCGACAGTGCAAACTGCAGACTATAAAGTGTATTAGCAGAATCAGTAGAATTTCCTGGTGGTTGGATCATGATCTTTTGCTTCACTACAAATAAATACAAGTAGATCACCTGAAATAAATTGTTATCAAATAAGTGCGATGATGAGACTTGAGGCGATGATGAGGCCAAGTTTCGCAAATTTGAGTCAAACGCCAAAGTGCACCAAACACACAAGATGAAATTGTTCAACTTTGGCGACAAAATGACGATGCAGCACTGGAGCCTATCAGCGTTGATTCAAGATTCAAAGATTTTTATTGTCATTTACACACGCCCTGTGTATTGAAATTCTTGTGCTTGCCTTTCCGGAAAGCTGACCAATTTTAAAATTAAAAATAAAATAAAAATACAATATTTACATAAATGTACATGAAATAAAAAATCCAGGGCTTCTGGTTGGGGAACTTCCTGACCTGCATGGTGGGCACAATGTTGTTTACACAAGTGTAGATGTACCCGGTCACGTACTCTGCGTAGTCCTGTACGTTAACAGAAGAGTCCTCCCTTGTGGCTGCAGCTTTGAACACATCCCAGTTTGTTTGAGCAAAACAGTCCTGCAGGATTCCCTCAGTCTCTGTGCTCCCCCTGTCATCAATGAAGTTGGGGTCCAGTCGAGAAATTCGATCACTGATCCTTGCCAACTTAGTTATCAAACTGCCTTACTGTAATGTGCGTTTTGCTAATTGAGGCAGTGCTATTTGTTCTGGGTTGGGGGGAATTAGGGTTAGGAACTAGAATGTGTGTGTGTGTGGGGGTACAGCAGTCATCCAGACGCAGTTCCTGTAAATTGGTGAAATTCACTGAGCTGTTTGCACTTACAGAGCAGCGTTAGAAATACACAGGGTCAAAGGGCAAAATTGCCCCTTAAAAATATATCCTTTTGCCCTAGATATCACTAGGAGAGGGGCAAAACCCCCCCCATAATTTCCTCTAATAATAATGATAATTTAGTTAACTTGTCAAAAACATCGTAGCCTTAATGACCCGGGCCAGATGCCACAGAATGTTCTTGATTCTCCCTTTGACTGACTTTGCGTGTGCAGTAAGAATCGAACGTTCTTAAAAAGAAAGGAGCGCCTCTTGATCCTCTCAGATTCAAAATAAAAATCCAAGCACCTGTAGCAGTATGGAGGGTCATTGGGCGACCCTGCTGGCAATTAACACCAGGTGGCTGCAACGAGGTGGGCCGGTTTAAAAGTGGCACGCCTCCACCAGCTCGTCCTCTTGCACCTCTGTCCTGTTTGGTGCGTCATTTCTGGGCGACTAGATGCGTGCGGCCCTGTGCTCCCGTACGCCCGGTGCACTATTTGCTTGGTAGATGCCAGCGACAGCCAGTGTCCCCTCCCTCCCCCTGTGTGTAAGCGTGTGTCCTGAAACAGGAGTCGCTGTGATCAGCCGATTGGGGTCGCTGCTGTTTTTCTCTCCGGTGAAGCTCCACCTCCGGGGAAGCTTTGTCTCCACGGCGTTGTCCCTACTGAGGCGTTGTCTCGCCACGCTGCGCTGCCTGGCGTCCCCGGTTCATACCGTGCGCCAGATAATTTTCTTTAAACACTTCTCACGCCCGTGTTTTACCCAGGACTGTGACCCTGTGTATTTTTGGATGGATGTTTGTTATTGTAATTTTGTTTTTGTCTTTTTATTATAACTCTCCACTAATTTGTCTTTGTCTTTTTAGTTGCTGGAGACTGGTGGGGGTGTCCTACCCCTTTGTTTGCGGTGTCCTGGGAAGCGGGTTCCTCACTACGTCGGGTGGTTTTGAGCTTGTTTTCTTGATTTGGTGGGTCAACCCGGCCCCTTTACACCTACCCTTGTCCATCCACTCAGCTCCAGACCTCTAATTGATTTTTCTTTTGATTTTCGTTTGGGATGAATTAAATTGCACTGGTTTTAAAAGTATTTAAAATAAAGCCGTACTTTCCTAAAACCATGAACTGCGTCTCCTGCCTCAAACGAGTAAATTTACCTGTGGGCCTTGTAGATTCCAGATTATTTCTCGGGGTAAAATTCCCCGAGTGGCGTTTGTTTTTTCTTTATTTAGTTTAATTTCCCTTTTACACCCCATCCTCACCACACACAATAAAAGAATAAAGTTTAAAAAACAAAGTGACTAGTTAACTAGCTAGTAAGGCTTGCTAGCTGGCTAACGTTAGCTAGACGGAGTGCAGGCAGTGAGAGATGTTTCCCATCATGTTGTGGGTGACAGCCAATCCTCTATTTGGGTCAAATACAATTAGTTGAGACTGCAGTTGACTGGAGGTTTCAAGGTTTAAATGTCTTTGTTTTTACAGAAGCATGGAGTAATCAGCTCAATAATAGATGAATCCGATGCAGAAGACATGTTTTTTAACCAAAACAAAGAGGACGCTAACATTAAGAAAACACTTTGAATCTGTAGACTGCTTAATAGTCTTATTGTCATTTGATGACAGTTTCATACAGTAAGCCCAAATAAGTATATTATTTTTAACAAAGGTCAAATATTTCACAAGCTTACACACAAGCCAGTTTCTTATAAAATGCCCCTGGTTGTCAGTCAGTGGGGGCAAAAATTGTGAGTAGGTTCGATGTGAACGCAGTGGCATTGATTACCCTCCATACATCATAATGACCCATCGGCTCCACCCCTCCCAACAGAAAGAGTCAAAACGCGCAGGTGGTCAGCTCACACACAAAATTACCCAGTTGTCTTCTTTTATAGGCACAGGTGTTTTTAGGCACAAAATAATGTTGCTGTGGATTAGTCACCTCTTACCGATGAACTATTATTCATAATTGGGAGGTAGTGTGGATATGATTTTCTACTTTCAACTTTTGAAATTCTGGAACTGTAATCTTCTACCTCCACATGCATTGGATCACATCAGGAGTGAAGTGAAAACTCTAAATGGCACATGATGTTGACATGTTTGTGATCCCCCACGAGCCCCCAGGCAGAAGGGACCTTGGGTTCAGGGCCTCGTTATTTCATAGGCCTACAGATGGGAAGGTACATTTTTTCAGACTGGATTTAGGAATAGAAAATGGACACATGGTGTGAATTCACCATGTGAAAAAACTCTTTCTGAATTTTTCAGATTACCAAACTGAAATAGACGATGGAACCTTTGGATCTTGTGAAGTGAATGTGTCATATGTTGCATGAATTTTAAGGACAAGGTGGTAAATTCTTGGACAAAGCCATAATTCAGTTTTGCTTTCTTCAAACAATACAGTTCAGTTAGACATGCAAATATAAGTGATGGCCCAATAATATTTTTAAGTTGCACAAGTGGCCATGTGTCAACAGGGGATCCGCGACCCCCAATGGGTCCGCGAAGGTACTGCAGGGGGGTCGGGAGATTTTTTGTTGATAAGACAATTTTTTTAAACCAATTTCCCCCCCCACAAATGTAAATGTCTTCAGAATCGGAATTTTATTTATGGTCTTTAAATACACATTAACATGAATCCAACATATTGAAGCGAATGGATAAATTGATGCAGAAGACGTTATCTGTCAGTCCGCAACCCACACATTCAGCTTCCCTCAGCAGCTCTCAAGCTGGGCACCGGTTCACTCACAGCTCCTTTCATGCGAATACGACCGCGCAGGCACCAGCCAATCAGATCGCGTTCATGCTCACGTCTAAAGAGCGTGAAGCTCAAAAATAAAAGATGGCGGTCCAAACTCCGTAGAATAGGGGGTCCCTGCTCCACCTCGCCATCAGTTTGGGGGACCTTGGCTTGAAAAACGTTAAAGACCTCTGTGTTAGACAGTCATTGCCTACAGTTTATTTATATTATTTGGAAAAGCTATTTGGAACAGTAAATAGGCATTTAGTTATTTGATTAAAGATAAATGAATCAAATATTTATTCATCAATACAACCACCACAGCAACTGTGAATTTATGTGAACAAAATGATCATGGCTCATGTATATTTCACATGTTAGATATTTTATTTTACACAGAATTTAGAGCGAGCAATCGTGGAAACAGAAAGAAGCGGACAAACAGGTGCATCCCAGAGAGACAGGACCGGAAAACCACCTAAACAGGACAAGAGCATTACGTCTTAATGTGTTCATCTATTGATAGAACACACATCTTCACACTGAATGGACATATGATAACAATGCTGTTTGGCATTAGATCAAATTCAGGCATTAAGGCACAACACACGCTGATTATATGTAACATGTAAACAAAGAAAACCCCCACATACCAATGTGGCGGTTCATTCCAGGCCATTCCTCACTTTGTACTCGTGTACGTCCGTACTGTGCTGCTTGAAGAGCTGTGGGTGGAAGACGAACACCCCAGATTGTTTAAATGCAAGTGGTTATATTCGAACATTATACATATATCAAGCCTATGCCTCACAAAGACTGTTGGTATAAGACATATTACATTGGCCTACTTAAAACAAGCACATTGCTGCGCTCTCCTGGCAAAATTAATGCTAGACATTCTGAGGTACGTCAGTGAGTAAACGAAGGGCTCCTCACAAAGAGAATGACAACTCAGGGGGCTGAAAGAAGCACCCGAGTGTGTGAAACACAGAACTCAACCAACGATCGTTGTTTTATAGAAGATGAGTTCACTTTCTGAGAGAAAGGTCAGTGGTCGTTTACCAGGCCCCAAAGGACAGCGGCCGAGCCAAAGGCAAGGCTCACTCTGAGCCAGTTTGGGTTGGCGGAGTCAGGCTTGGAGCTTGTGAACGCTGACCTGGATCCCACTGCAAGAAAAAAATAGAAAAGAATTACAACCACAGAAAAAGAACCACCCTGTTTAAAAATAAACGAATAACATTTTGTTGGCTTTCGTAGTCTAGTTAAAATAGCCACGAAGGGAAGTCAAGACCATGGCTGGAGGAATGCGAGCCTAGAAGAACTGACTTGCTAGCATGCGTTTAAATTGGGTCATTATAAGAGGCAGAGAAGAAATAAATCCGACTATTTCACTTAATTTAATCCTAAAAAAGAGATTTGACGTGAATGCCTCTTCATAAAAGGAGCGAAAGCTATAAGGTGAGTGAAAATAGGATGGCAATACTTCCGGTTACTTACAATACAATAGTTTGAATATTAGCATAATCGTTAATCGTTTATGTTAAAACATTTTATGTCATCTTAAACATCTTAACGGTCTTATGATGTCTCATAGCTCAGGGGGGGAGAAGCCGCCTGTGTGTGACTGCAGTGCTACATGAAGCTAAGCTAAGCTAAGGTCAGGCTTCAAAATAAACACACGTCACAACGTTAACATTATAAACGGCGAGACAAAAGAACCCGGCAAAAAAATAGTACCCATGAACTTATTACGGTTAAATGCTAATCTTACCTCTGCTGACGAAAGCAGCTCCAGAGAATAACCGGCTGAAAGTCATTTTAGCTTCAGAGCAGCTGTCTTCATCCGCTATGCGATGCGACCACTCCGTAATCGATTAAACGTCCTGGAAGACTTGAGTAAACGATCACCGATGTGCTGCTGGAACGCATGTGTCAAAAAGCTATCACACTAACAGCATTTGTCATTTCAGAATACAAAAAGTCTACATTTGGCTGTTTTAAAGCCCTTGTAACCCCACTGACGTTAGTGAGCTTTTGGAGCTTTTGATGCATCCACAGTAGACACGGCTAACGTTATATCGACACATTATACATCTGCTATCAAATAGGTTTTGTGTTTCACTTTTGTATACAACCGGCTGGGGTTTTTAATTAAATGGACAGTTAAACATGACGTACTCGTCAAACAGCTATTTATTCACACAGAGCCCTGCTGTCCGCGTTGGCACGCAGACTCAGAGCTGCCTGACGCGCAGCAGATGCGCATCGGCCATTTTGCTCGGAAGGAGGCCTCGGCTTCAACACGTGAGAGCGAGGAGCCTGACACAGGCTCGGACATCTGACTACAACCGGGACAATATCCATGTGTGAACCGACAGAGGCGTAGGAAGCAAGCACAATGCCCACAATCCCTCTACCGCCGAAGGAGAATGCTCTCTTCAAGAGAATATTGGTAACTAGGCTAACGCCAAAAGCCTGAGATAGTTAGCTTGATGGCTAATGCTAGTTCTGCAAGTAGCCGTCACTTGTAGCAATCAGAGCAAGTATCGTAGCTTAGGGAGTCGCTGCTGAATCTGTTTCCGTGGGCCAAACGGACTGTAGCGAGCATGTCTGTGTTATTAACGACTGGCTGTAACAAGGATACAAAGACAAAAGCCACTAGTTGGCTAGCAGTCAGGTGCGGCTTCGTTGCTATACAAAGAGTCACAAAGCTGCTGGACATGTGACAGACACACACAGTTTAGCATCGAGGGGAAAAGTGGAGGTTTGCTGACTAACGTTATGTCCAAACTTCATCTTTTAAACGTGTTTTTCTGCACCGTCAAAACAGTTAAGTCATCATCGTCCCTGCACACACGGCCGAAACAGTTTGTCAGTGGCTGTTCATTCAGTGCAACAAAAGCGCCGCTGATTGGACTGTTTGTGCAGGTTTTTTGGACCACAGTAGTTTGCATTTAGATAGATTTGACACCCCTGTTCTTCACTGACCCCGATCGTCCTGCGGATTAGTGCAGCGGAGCTCTGCAGGCCGGTGTGACGTTTCCTCTGCTTCTTGTTTCAGAGATGCTACGAGCACAAGCAGTACAGGAACGGCCTGAAGTTCTGCAAGCAGATCTTGGGGAACCCCAAGTTCTCTGAGCATGGAGGTAAGGCTGCAGTTACCTCCTCCCTCCCTCCCCGCCGCTCAACACACACATCATGTATATCATATAATACTTATATTAAATCTAATTGAACGTGTGCATATATGAGCCTAGTTTGTGGGGAAACACCCAATCAGTGTGTTGAGGAAAGACTAACTCAATAAAAAAACCTGTGTGTAATCGGTCACTAGCTGTGTTCCCATACACTCATTTGAGTTTTTCTTTTTATGAAAAAGACAGAAACCTGGCTAGTGTCCCTCTCGACAGGTGTCATGTCCCCAAAATGACTCCGTCCTCTCCCCTGCTTTGTATTCCAGAGACGCTGGCCATGAAGGGTTTGACCCTCAACTGCCTGGGCAAGAAGGAGGAGGCCTATGAGCTGGTGAGACGGGGCCTTCGCAACGACCTCAAGAGCCACGTCTGTATCCTTCCATCAGCCCCCAGGGCCGCCGCAGAGCATCAGTTTAACATTACATGTCATTTAGCTGACGCTTTTATCCAAAGTGACTTACAATTAGTGCATTCAACCATAGGGGTACAAACTCAGATGAACAAGAAACAAAGTGCAATTTCATCAAATAAGCCAATTTACAATTTGCTATAGATAAGTACAATTTAAGTGCTACAATTTGTTAGTCTTTTAGTCGAGGTACATTCAAATATCAAAACTGCTGCAGCGTTCTGAACGTTCTTTCATGTGATTTAATTAGTGTGTGTTTTTCACATTAATAGAGAGCGCGTCTTGTGTGTGGTTTTCCTTCCTGAACTCGCTCATCCTCCAGGCTGGCACGTGTACGGCCTGCTGCAGCGTTCTGACAAAAAATACGACGAGGCCATCAAATGTTACCGCAATGCTCTGAAGTGGGACAAGGACAACCTGCAGATCCTCAGAGACCTCTCCCTGCTGCAGATCCAGATGAGAGACCTGGAGGGATACAGAGTGAGTGAGGGAGGAGGAGGACGTGTGTTTGTGGGATGAAAGACCCTTAATGGAGGGATGACGAACAGTTGAATTGGGTGGCGGATTATAAAATGTAGCTTCCCTTGGCTGTGACGCCCCTCTCCCTCCCCAGGAGACCCGGTACCAGCTGCTGCAGCTCCGTCCGGCCCAGCGGGCCTCGTGGATCGGATACGCTGTAGCATATCACCTGCTGGAGGACTTTGAGATGGCCGCCAAGATCGTTGAGGAATTCCGCAAAACGCAACAGGTGGGCCGACGCTGTGGATGTTTTAATGGAGCCAAATATCCAATTTGTTTAAAGTAGCGCTGTCAAAATTCACTCGTTAATCTATGCGATGATTGTGGCCCAGATAAATGCGATAAAATATTTTAAAGCAGCCAGCGTTGCCCCCGGAAACGAAACCTGGAACATGTTGGTAGCTGTTCGGCTGCTTCCATCTCAACATCCACCCTGCGCGGCACACAGTGTGCAGAGGACCACTTCTGTGTCTCTAATGGACAGTGGTTTGGAAAACGTCCTGCTAAATGTGGGGAGATTGTTGGCACTTCAAACACAGCCGTTAAATGATGCAGAGTTGAGAGCAAGGTGCACAAGGACAGCAGGAAGAGTCGCTAGTTCAACATATCGTTATTGCGAAAGCCAATTAGCGATGAAACGCTGCGCCATCATCACCGCCGTCCTGCTGCCAAAGCATGAATAAACTCCATGAAACTGCCGCTCACCGGAGACCGATAGACAGGTGCTCCGCAGACTGAACGCCTGTAAGTTAGTCGGTGTTTAACCGAGAGATCCTGAAGTAGCGCCGGAAGCGGAAGTCGCAGAGACGGACTTCCTGGAGAAGTTGATGAAATTTACCGAGCTGTGTGCGGCGACGGAGGATATCATGAAGGCAAACACCACACCGTTTGTTGTTCCGACATTTGTGTAATTTCCACAACAAGTAAGGCTGTACCCGACAGCTGACTAGTCGGGAGAGTAAACTCGCGTGATTAAAGCGTTGCAAAAATCCGCTTTGCTTTTGGTATGTAGCACCATTAGACGTGCGTTTCTTTTAAAACAGGAACTTCTCAGTATACGGACCAGCAATGCCTCCGCTATGACGTGATTAACAATGGGGTCTATGAGAAATGATGGCCTAAAATAGCAAAATATACAAAAAACAAAGAAATTTGCCTTCATAAAACAATTTTGCCTAATAAAGATTTGTCACATCACTTCGGTCCTGTTTATTAAAAGTTGACCCTGTTCGACCCCTTTTCTAGAGCGTCCCAGCATGTGGGGGGGGGGGCCGGGGGGGGCGCAGTAGAGAGATGTTAGGCAATGATACTGTGTGTCTTTTTGACACATAAATTGTACTTTCTTCAGTTAAATCTGAGACACAACAAATGCTAGTTAAGGAAGAATAGCAGAGAAGTTAGTGCCGGTTAAGGTGGGGAAAAAATAGTATCAATAGAAGCCAAATAACCTTTTGACGTTTTCAACATTGTTTTTACAGATTGATGATCAGACAGTGCTTTTTTAATTCTGCTTTCTTCCTTCTCTCATGGTTTCCTGACTGGAGAACTAGTGCCACCTACTGTTGAGTTCTTTCAGTGGTGCGATCCGCATGTGGTTGAAATTAGAAAACAGAATGAACACTGTCACTAATGCAGGGTTTCCCTTTAATGCCCTTGAGCAGGTCGGCCCTCCACAGCTTTGACTCTATTACAGATTGCAACTGTATAGTAATACTGCTCTAGTAGTGGCCATAGATAAATAGTAGGTTTGACTGAGAAGTTGAAGTGAAAGGATTGTTATTGCTCTTAAGACTTGATTGAAGCCCCCTGACTCGCCAATACTTGTTTGATTGTTTAGGAGAGTGTGCAGAGAAGTTGATTTATTGTTTTTCTCAAACTGGGGGGTAAATGATCCATTTATGAAAAAGTGTGTGTGCTTGTCTTCCCAGACGTCTCCAGACAAGGTGGACTACGAGTACAGTGAACTGCTGCTCTATCAGAACCAGGTTCTGAGGGAGGCCGGCCTGTACAAGGAGGCCCTTGAGCACCTCAACAACTACGAGAAACAGATCTGCGACAAACTGGCAGTGGAGGAAACGAGAGGTGGGTGCACTTTGTCCATGCAGAAGGAACGGGACGGCTCACCGGACCGAATGAATGTGAAGCTACCAGAGGACCGAACAACCACTGTTAATGTGGTTAATGCTGAAATGTGTGTGTGTGTGTGTGTGTGTGTGTGTGTGTAGGAGAGTTGCTGCTGCAGCTGGATAGGCCCGATGAGGCCTCACAGGTCTACAGGAGTCTCCAGGAGAGGAATCCTGAGAACTGGGGCCTACTACCAGGGCCTGGAAAGGCCTTAAAGCCAGGTGAGCTATCCTCAGGCCCACACAATATGCTGGATTGAGTACTTCTACTGCAGCTATTCATCTGGGCTGTAAGACGACAGAAATGTTCTGGAGTTCCTAGTTTAAGGTGTATCCCTGGCCGTGCACAGAAAGCAGCTGTACTTATTTTTGGTGCTTTGAGGGCCACACAAGTGATATCAAGTTTCATGATACTGCAGAGAGCGCTCGACTCTGCCAATTAGCACTAGACAGGGCACCAAAAACAATCTAGACTGAGAAGTCGTCGTGATCCCTAACTAATGGATTGGATCAGATCATAAAGGAAAGGGAGAAATCCAAACTTTTAGAGATCTCCCTTTGATCGCCGGCCAGTTGCGAGCGACTTAGCCAGCAGTGAACAATAAGCGGTAAAAAACTGTTCAGGCAGCTGGCGGGCCTTTTTTGGCGTCAATGAGTGTTTACTCGGAAAAAAGTACCGGTTATATACCAGGATACTATGGAAGCTCACTTCCGCCACAAAAAAAAAAATGACTGATTATGACTTTGTTGGTGACTTTGGTCTACGGTCACACAGAGTTTAACATCCTCTGTGAATATCTTGCCAACTTTAGCGAACTGTGAACGTTCTACGGACGCTCGCTCCACCATCATAACAAACGGAGAGGACAGGGACGTCCGACTTTTAGCGGAGTCCGAAATAAATCAATCTTCTAGGGAAGTAAAATACGTTCCAGGTGGTATTTATTCCGTAGTTATCGTGATTAGTAACGATTGAAAAGTCCTGAAGGGAGTTCTCTCTGTATTGAACCAGTGTTGCCAATTTCTTAATGAGGAAAGCCGCTGCAGAATCAGCGGCGGCTTCGGCGCGTTGATTTCAGTCTGGACGTGACTCGTGTCTCCTCTGTGCTCTGACTGCAGCGAGCCGCCAGGTTTCTGCTTCAGTCACGTCAGACACCACAAAAGTCTCCAATAGGACCAGATAAGGTCGCTGGTCGCTTTTGACAAGAAGTCGTCAAAGAGAGTTTGGAAAGTCGATGTACCAAACCACGAAGGAGCCTGCGCACGCGCATATCTTAGTCATAATTTCGACTTGCGAATTTCGAAAGATTGTATTTTGAATGGACAAAAGCAAATCTTTACTACATTTAATGATTTGTTATAATCTGCTTGCTGTCTGGAGTAGCTCATAATTCTCTATCTAATAACTTTATGTTGTTGTCAAATCAACTGGATTAAAGTTTCTCACCTACAATTAACAACTACAATGTACGAGGCTACACGTGAACCCATCGAGATAAAGACGTTATCTTTTCCCAATTCTCATTGTCACTGAACCTGAAGCTCTGCTCACGTTACAAGCTCTCCACCCCTCGTGTTGTATTCGTATTTCTTTTAATAGCGTGTGTTTGTCTGTGCGCGTGTATTTCCAGGTAGTATTGAGGACCGTCAGAAGATTTATGAGGACTCCTGGGTGAAGTTTCCTAAAGGCCTCGTTCTCCGGCGACTGCCGCTTAACTTCCTCACAGGTAAACACAGTACAGCCTGTTTGTTGCATCATGGGAAACGTCATCACCGTACGTCCCTGTACCGTGACTTGGACTGTTCCCCTGCTGAGCTTATGGGTCTGGAAGTAACATGTGTACTTCAGTAAAGTGAGATGGTTTTAAGTAGAGACCAGTGATTATACATACAGTTATTGACAAATCCATTTACATGGACACCAGGATTCAGATTCTAATATTCAAATGGATATAAGATCTGATCACAGGCAGCACAATACACCCACTTAACAATTCTTCCCCTGATATTACTCCCGAGATTAACTGATCACATGATCAATCTAAACAAATAATCATGTGGCTAAACTTAAACAAGTAGGCTTGGTTTCTAAATGTTGTTGCGCCGCCATCTGGGGGAGTCTAAGGACACCATGAAAGTAAGCGAGGCCGTTCCCTCCCCAGTTTGCAAATCAAAGTCACAATAAGAATGTATTACTTAATAATTCAATTAACTTTGAAGTAACGACTACAACATCTTTGAGGATGAACTGAGGCCAAAAACGCCAATCTGCCCAAAGGTATTGGCTAACCCTAAACAAAATAAACAAAAACGGGCATGAATCATTTAGTAAATCTGGCTCAGAGGGATACAGCAGAAACCACTTTAGTAATATTTCAAACCAAAAGTGTGGTTAATATTCTATATGTAAATTCTCACAAAGTATCAGGATCTGTGACAGATTCTGACTCGCGATCAATGTTGTCACCGCGTACCCGAGCTCATAAAAACCCCCGCTGGCCCCCGCTGATAGGAGCTCAGAATGATTGTATGCAAGGAGGTCACAGGATGAAACGCTGCACGCCAGTCTCCTCTTCGTCAATACTAATCCCACTTTACGGTACCTTTGCTGTGTGTTGTGCTGGGCAGGGGACAAGTTTTGTGAATGTCTGGACAGCTACCTTAGGATGAACTTCAGTAAAGGCTGCCCACCCGTCTTCACTACCCTCAAGTCCCTCTACAGCGACAGAGATAAGGTAAGCATGCTGACCTTGAAATACCATGTGTGTTGTTGACGTTCCTTATCCAAATAAACAACATGTTTTCTTCTGCAGGTTGCAATCATTGAGGAATTGGTAGTTGGCTATGAAACCTGTTTAAAAAGCTTCCGAATGTTCAGTAAAAATAGTGAGTTTTGCCTTCTCTTTCCTTTGTAACGTTCCGTAATCCTTTGTTTGATTTTAATGTCTGAATCAGATGCATAGAGGCTGAATTGCACAACTGTTGTGAAATGTGTGCAGATGATGGGAAGGAGGAGCCTCCTACCACCCTGTTGTGGGTGCAGTACTTCCTCGCTCAGCACTTTGACTTCATAGACCAGCCCAGCCTCGCGCTGGAGTACATCAACACGGCCATAGACAGCACGCCCACGCTCATCGAGCTCTTCCTCATCAAGGCCAAGATCTACAAGGTTGAGCAGAAACGCTACACGTTTGAATGAGGGTCTCCTCTGTCTTGTGTCATGAGCGTTGACACTTTTCTGTGTTTTCTTCCCTTCCCTGCAGCACACAGGCGACATCAAGGAGGCAGTTCGGTGGATGGATGAAGCTCAGGCTCTGGACACCGCCGACCGCTTCATCAACTCCAAGTGTGCCAAGTACATGATAAAGGCGGGCCTCGTCAAGGAAGCCGAGGAGATGTGCGCCAAGTTCACACGGGTGAGCGTGAACAGACGACCTGGCTCAAGTTTGGGTTGTCATGGTGTTGGTGTGTGGAGAAGAGCATTGTAGTTCAATGGTTAAACTTGTCTTTTGAATGTGTGTTCATGGATGCATCAATACAGATGTTGCTTTAATGTTGTCTGCATTTATCACACGCATGTGTTTTTTCAGGAGGGGACGTCTGCAGTAGAGAACCTGAATGAGATGCAGTGCATGTGGTTCCAGACAGAGTGTGCCTTGGCCTACAAGGCCATGAACAAATTTGGAGAGGCTCTGAAGAAGTGCCACGAGATTGAGAGGGTAAGCTTCCATAACCTGCATGCCACCACACACACACACACACACACACACACACACACACACACACACACACACACACTCCATTTTCTGTCCTAAATGTTTTGTTATTGTTTTCACATGTCCTGTGCCTTGTTCGGATACACTATCATCAAGATCGGTGTATTCATTTTGTATCATTTGGGGAAATATTGACAATTTAGGGGAGACTTCCAATCAGTCCTGTGATCTAAATATATTTTTTCCCAAGCAGACCTACTTCCTACAGAGCCTGGGCTAAACATTATGCTTTAATACTGCACAACTTTTTGTTTGTTATTAAGATTTACATAGTATATAGATGACTGCAAAATTTACAATATCATCGGGTTTATGAAAACCAAGCTTTTCCCTTGACAATTCCAGGGCTTCAGCTGAATAAACAGGTGTCTGTCTTTTGTAGGCACGCTGTTTCTCTCCTCAACTCAGCTCCTACCCCCACACACACACACACACACACACACACACACACAGTTATGTGGAGTCGGTAGGATTGTTCACATTACAATACTTTAGCCTTGGTTGTCCACTTTGCATAAGTCAACCAAGGTCCCAGATCAGCGTATTTGGTTCAGAGACGCTGGCAGAGAGCCACACTGGCCCTCAACGCCCCACAGTTCAGTCTGCCCAGAATGCTGCTTTGTTGCGTTTCCACTTGTGACGCATGATGCAGTGCTGCAACATACGTCACATTATGATGAAATCGCTGTTAGGAGTCATGGCGCTGGAGCCACTATCAGATAAGTGTCAAGTTCATTCTTCTAACACCAGCAGATCTAAACATTCTCTCTCTCTCTCTCTCTCCCTCCCTGCCATCAGCATTTTGTGGAGATCACAGATGACCAGTTTGACTTCCACACCTACTGCATGAGGAAGATGACGTTGCGCTCCTACGTGGACCTGCTGAAGCTGGAGGACGTGCTGAGGCAGCATCCCTTCTACTACAAGGCCGCTCAGACCGCCATCCAGATCTACCTGGAGCTGCACGACAGGCCTCTGACCGCCGACAACAAGGAGAGCCAAGCGGACGCAGGTCAGTGCCCCACCGTCATCGAGCACCTGCACTTGCGACTTACAAGTGTCTGAGGAGGCGGAGCTACAGAGCACGCTGAATGAATGCTCGCATGCGTTACAAATACCAGCATTGTTGGTCAAGGATCAGTTGTTGATTGTAGGAGGATTTCTTCCCCGTTCCACTCCAAAAGGTGTTTGGGAACATATAGCATGTGGACTTGTTGCCTTCATGCTGTTTGACTGTTAACACAGTAAAGTAAGTTCCTTTATGTACTTATGCTCTTTGTAAATAGTGAACTGTCCAGATTGGGCCCATCTTTCTCTGCCAATATCATTGTTGTTAAACACGAAGTAACAGCCAATACAAAGCGTTTTGAACACTGCCACCTGTATGAAGTTATATAGTTATAAGTTACAAATGCCCCGTGTACCGTTGCTCTCTGTAGAGAATCTGACGGACAAAGAGCTGAAGAAGATGCGTAACAAACAGCGAAGAGCCCAGAAGAAGGCCCAGTTAGAGGAGGAGAAGAAGAAGAACGCGGAGAAGGAGAAACAGCTGAGGAACCAGAAGAGGAAAAAGGAGGACGATGACGAGGAGATAGGGGGGCCCAAAGAAGAGCTCGTTCCAGACAGACTGGCTAAGGTGGGCTCATATTACTCAGCTTCTCGGCCATGACGGAAGGATCTGATCAAATGATCACCCACCGTCTGTATTCTAATGTGCTGAAACCGGTTCGTGCAATCACACAGGCCAACTCCTGATTGTGTATTTGAGTGGTTGAGTGGACGGCGTAAGGACTCTCCCCTCCTCTTAGGTCGTCTTCAAGTGTTTTAACGGAGGCACAGTCCTTTATACGAGCTGAGATGTAATCAAAGGGAATGTCTGACCCCCTTGTTACCAGGCAGAGAATCCTCTGGAGGAGGCAGTGAAGTTCCTGATCCCTCTGAAGAACCTTGTGCGCAACAAGATCGAGACGCACCTCCTGGCCTTTGAGATCTACTTCAGGAAAGGTCCGACTTGTACTGCCAACCTGCTCAATTTAAAAAATAAAATAAAAAATTTGGCCTGTTATAACCGCATCATTACTCATTGACCCAACATTCTGTTTGTGCCCCTAGAGAAGTACCTGTTGATGCTTCAGTCGATAAAGCGGGCGGTAACAATAGAGCCCTCCAACCCATGGCTGCACCAGTGTCTGGTGCGCTTCTTCAAAGGAGGTAAGGACGGGGTCGACACGGTGCTGATCCATCCTCCGCTACCCTGGTTTCAGTGAACTCTGTGATTTGACCAATGAGTCTGTGGGAACTTTCCCGAGTTCGACACGCCTGAGGTGTGTGTGTGTGTGTGTGCGCAGTGCATGAGAGTGCAGACCTGGCAGAGTCTGTGAGGAAGGTGTTGAAGCAGGAGATCTCCAGACTGTTTGGGGAGAGCAACCCGCAGAGCTTCAACAAGAACTACCTGAGTCAACACTCCAGCTCCATCCCACACCGACTAGCTGGTAAGCAGCGCGCGCACACACACACACGTGCCCAGAATGTGTGAGTTCTCACAACGTTACCACCTGGAAGTGTGGAAGCCAGTCATGGTTCAGTATGCGACTCACACAAGAATGGACTTTAGAATTTAGAGTTTCTTTTGAATACTATATTATTCTGTTTCAATGACTGACAAGGAATTTATGTAATCCTAAATCATTTTATTTATTACAAAAAAAACTGTTTTAGTCATAAAAATATTATTCCCAGTATCTTTTACAGGGCTTTACTTTCATTTAAACTTGAAATGGTCCTGCAAAGTTTTGTAAAAGATTACCGTTGCATCGCTGCAGCCTCCCTGTCAGTATTAAAGCTCAGACTTGTGTTGGGGTTGAAAGTGTTCCAGGTGGACCTGTTATGACAGCCCGTGTGACCTTTGTGTATAAGACCCGGGAGCAACATGAGTGTCTCCGTCTTGCATTCCCAGCTGCTAAGATGATGTTCTACCTGGAACCGCTCTCTGATAAGATGGCCTGTGAGATCGCCACGGCCCTGGATGAGTCCCTGTCCGGAAGAAGCCTCCAGGTATGTGACCATTTACCCCTTCAAGTTTGGCACATAGGTAAACAGCCGATCAAGGACGGTTTAACGTTAACCTTCACCTATGAAATAACTTCTACTGAAGATGTTTATCAGCCGATATTAAGTCAAATATGTGATCATCCTGCTGTTCTAGTCTCTGATCGCTGATAATGTTCCATCATAAACAACCAGTCCTCTTTACATCAACTGGAGGAGAGCTAATCACGTTAACCGCACCGCTAACGGATGGAGGTCCAGTTCAGTTGCATTATGATGCGTTCAGGCTCTGCTCTAGAACAATGATGGAAGGTTATCATCACTAAAATATGCAATCAGGATGCCATTGTCTCTCGTAGTGGGTTGCTTACGTTACCATGTGTTCAAATACAATTTTACTGTAGAGTTGGTGAAACTTAATAGTGGTTTGAATGAGATGTCTTTGCATTATAAAATAGATATTGAAGATTATTAGCTGTTTACAATAATTTTGCAATTCAGCAATTTTACATTTTTAGCGAATGTCTTTATTTTAATCGTGTTCACAGATTAATTTTTTGGTGTGAAACTTCAATAAATCAAGTTGTTTATTATTCGCACATTAATATAAAATAGATGAAAGCAGATCATATTAAATCATTAAAAAAAAGAATGAGATTTAATCAATGAAAAATACAAACTTTCACTTCTCATTTCAATTGTGTGGTTTACTTTTTAAAGAAAACTACACACACTACAAATGACTGTGAATGACTAAACCTATACTTTAGGGTTTACTGCTTTGTGTGCTGCAGATCTGTACTCAGGTGCTGGAGGCGCTGCATGATGGACAGCTGGGCGAGGGCCAGCAGAAGGCTGCTGAAGCTTACCGGATTGCCTGCCAGAAGATGTACCCCTACAGCCTTGCTTTCATGCCCCCCGGTTACCAGGACAACAACGCCACGATCAGTGCCAACGGCGACCTTTCTGCAGGAGAGAACGACGACGTGGCAAACGAGATGTGAGCTTTGACCCCCTTCTTCCTCCCCCAAGCTACGGCTGCTGTGAGTTGCACCCGCATTGCACTGATCTGGATGGACGGAGCGCCACAGAAGAGAAAGTAGGGTAGCTGGCACATGGAGGAAGGAAACGCCCATGGAACTTTTTGATTTCCTAAAAATGACCCTGTGTCCAGTTTTGGAACTAAAAAAAACCCAGATAAATATGCAAAAGAGGATTCTGGGAAATGTAGACATGGATGGCTCCTGTAAATCCAGTCCAAGTTTTCTATGACTGCCGTGTTTTCATGCCAGGTCCTTCTTCTAGGGGCATCTGCTTCTTGTGTTTTTAAAAGTAATTTATATATTACAAATGGGTTAATAAAACGATGTTTCAAATCAAAAAGGCACCATTGTGAATGTTATTTGTAATAATGTGAGCTGCTATTTGCCAAAGAACAAACGTGATGGGAAAAGGCGCACATGGCTGATGCTGCAGTTTCCGGCTCTGCCACACGAGTGCTGCTCCCAACGTGTGATTGAAGAGGAAGATGCAGGACAGGACTGGATGTGTCTCGTGTGACACACAACTACACAAGGCCTCCTACTGCCATGCCATCCCATGAAGACCACTTGTTTCCAACATGTTCCAGCTGAATCCAGCACACCACCTGCTGCTATTTATCATCCGCCAACAAGTTGGGACTGTTGAAGTGATTGCACTGATGTTGGTGGTGTAACAAAACGCTGTTGACGCATCCACTTTGCTTGTGAACTGGATTGACACTTTAACGTTAACCATCCTAATGTAAAATAAAGTTTTACTAAAAATGTTCCTACAATTTTAAGCTGAGTTGGTTAAATAGTGGTTTGACTGCGATGTTTTCTCATTCTAAAGATATTGGAGACATTTTTAGCTGTTTACAACAATTTAGCAATTTCACGTTTTTACGCACAGTTTCTCAGGTTAACTGCAGTGGTGGTCATCCAGCTGGACAGTGGCTCGTGTCCACAGCCTCCATCGGTCCGGTGTTCTTGGAGATGAGTGTTGTGTATATTCCTGATTCAAGTTCTGAAGCCAGTGAAATTTCTTTGCAACTGCTGACACAATGACATTTATTATGACTCAAATAAAGCATCGATGTTTATAATCATGTCTTTGCACAATGCAATGTATTGTAATCTCCCTGAGCTATGCACATGTATTAATATTTAAAATTAACATTTTAAGTTTTAAAGGATGAAACCAAAGGATTGGACATTTATGCATGTATGTCCGTATTCAAAATGAGTTAAATGGAGTGAATAGAAACCTTTTTCTCGGTATTACATTACATGTCATTTAGCTGACGCTTTTATCCAAAGCGACTTCCAATAAGTGCATTCAGCCATCGGGGTACAAACTCGGAAGAACAAGAAACAAAGTGAAATTTCCTCTAAGCCAATTTGCAATTTGCTATAGATGAGTGGCATAAGTACAATTTTTAAGTGCTACAATTTGTTAGTCTTTTAGTCGAGGTAGAGTCTGAAGAGGTGTGTCTGTAGTTTGCGGCGGTCCTGGTGTCTTCAGAGAGCTCCCATCTGGGAATCACACACTCGGTATGAATACGCTCATGTTGATGAGCGCGAGAGGTCTGTGTCATGTGTCCCTGCTGGAGTTGGGTGGAAAGAAGCTGCTCTGTTGGGAAGGTCGTCTTCTGGTGTCCTTTCACAGGCACCTCTTGTCACCGATAACCCCGATGCTCAGTCGACCGGTGCCAGCTTTGTTCTGGGTGCTTTCATTCCCCCGCCTGCCCTGGCTAGTGAACAGCAATGGATCAATTCTGAGCCTCCAGAAGAGGGGTGTGTGATTCCCAGATGGGGGGTGGCTGGGTGGCGACAGCGTCCCCCTGGACCTGTTGACTTTTATCTCCAGGGTCCACGATCAATTAGAATTGTGTTGGATAATCAGGTGCCACTTCTGGGAAACCTGCTGCAAACTTTTCAACCAGGTTTCCTACGATGTACTGTAATCTCTATTATCATAATTAGGGATTTAAGCGTGCACCAATTCTCTGTTCATTAGTTTGAAAGCCTTGTCAAATAGTTTGAGTAAAATTCCCAGAAAAGCTGTGATTTTTAGTTGTAATACTGCTTTTGAGATATTTTGAGTAAATTCGGGCTCTGAAAACAGCTTATAGTATCGTATTGCCTGCTGGCCATAAATACTGGGTTACTTGTTCCTAGAGTCTTAACAAGTAGGATGGAACCAGAGTCTTCTGTTACGGTTGAGGTGGCGAAAGTAGGACTCAATCACAGACTTCACAAATAAAAATACTTTATTTTAGTTGAATACACAAATGCCTCTCGGCAAAACGGACCAGAAATACACGCAAACCAAAAACTCGCCGACATCGACAGGACACTCAATGAAATATTGAGACAATCACAGGGGATAACACAAGGCGTGAAGTGAAGCTTTGCCAGGTACAACGAGAGGCAGGAAACTACAAAATAAAACAGGAAACAAACCCACACCGAGACACCTTCAGTTATCAAGCTCCTCTTTGGTGGAACCGGCTTCCACTTTCAGTCCAGGGGGTTGAAATAGTCACCTCATCCAAGATTGCTTCTTCCCCAGAAGAAAGATCCTCTTTCTTCCTTATTTTCTTGCCCGTTAAAAGGTTCTATTTTTCCTGTGTGAGGGTCCAAGGACCTGTGATATGTTGCACGTGTACAGGTTTATGTTACCTTGAAAAATTGGGTCTATGGATGTATGTCACATAACAACGGTCTACTTTATAATTTATAATATGCAGGGACAATGTCTCTATCGCCACAAGGAGGCAGGCCAACCTCGGAAATGAGGGGATGTGATAAATAGCACTCTACTTCCAGAATTGAGAGAGAGAGAGAGAGAGAGAGAGAGAGAGAGGCTGCTGGTGAGGAAAAAAAAGAGAGACAGCGAGACATACATGGACAAAGACGTATAAGATCTGGTGTCGCGGTGCAGTCAGAACAACCTGGAGCTCAACGCTCTAAAGACAGTGGAGATGGTTGTGGATTTCCGGCGGAACAGAGCCCCACCCTCCCCCATCACCCTGTGTGACTCCCCCGTCACTATTGTGGGCTCCTTCCGTTTCCTGGGCTCCATCATCACCCAGAACCTCAAGTGGGAGCTGAACATCAGCTCCATCATCAAGAAGGCTCAGCAGAGGTTGTTCTTCCTGAGGCAGCTGAAGAAACTCAACCTGCCAAAGACGATGATGGTCCACTTCTACACGGCCATCATCGAGTCCATCCTCTGCTCCTCCATCACCGTCTGGTACGCTGCAGGCACAGCCAAGGACAAGGGCAGGCTGCAGCGTGTCATCCGCTCTGCAGAGAGGGTGATCGGCTGCAATCTGCCGTCCCTACAGGACTTGTTCGCTTCCAGGTCTCTGAAGCGAGCTAAAAAGATCGTAGCCGACCCCTCTCACCCCGGACAAAACCGGTTTGTGCCCCTTCCATCTGGCAGGAGGCTGAGGTCCATCAGGACTAAGACCTCCCGCCACACGAACAGTTTCTTGCCGTCGGCAGTCGGGCTCATCAACAGAGCCCGGTCCCCCACTGACTGACTAGAACATTCCACCGGTCACTCCCCTTCATACTGCACATGCCACTTTAACTGCAATTCATCACTTTGTCACTTGTCACTTTGTCTCTTGTCTGTTACTTGTTTGTTAGTGCACTTTATGCTTAATACTTTTCTTCTTTACTTTTTAATTTTTTTTGTTGTTTTTATACAATCTTGCTAAGGCTATGGGTTATACTAACCCATATGCTTAGTATAACCCATGTTATATAACCCATAGGCTATGGGTTATACTAACCCATAGCCTTAGCCTTATTCTACTAACCCATTGCATTAGCATTTCATTCCACTTTATTTTATTACTTGTGCACTGTTGTCTTGTCTGTCTACTGTCGCGCACTAATCGCCAAGACAAATTCCTTGTATGTTTGACATATTTTGGCTAATAAATGTTTCCTGATTCCTGATTCCTGATAAGATACAGGGACAGAGAAGACGCATGACAACATGTCCAAAGTGAGAGAGGGAGGGGGACATCTAGACAAAGGGCTTGACTCCCTTTCTCCAAGTCCTTGGAGGGAGCAGCTGGTCTTCACATCCTCACACACACACATCCTCACACACACACACACACACACACACACACACACACACACACACACACACACACACACACACACACACACACACACACAGTGGAGCCACGGTTATGAAAATGAGAACATGGATGACACTCAAAACAAATCCTCAGAAAGGTGGTCTTGCATAGTTGCTTATTTTTTATTAGCAGCCAAAGGATTTAAAGAAAAACCTCGATTAATGGCGATTAATGATTAATGATTCATATTTTATTTTTTTTCTTCTTCAAGACTCAATCTTACATGTCATATCTAAGGAACCACTTTAGAAAGTGTGTATTTTAGACACTGTTTAATTTTGATCATCTTGGAGGCAGAATTCCACCGGGTGGAGCATGTTGAACTAGCGACTCTGCTGCCCTCGTCATATGCCGGCTGGGTTCGTCGACCTAGCAGCAAGCTTAGCATAGCGGTGGAACCAGAGCCTTCTGTCACGGTTTGCCACTCACCCCCTTTCTGTTTGACGCGTGGAGGAATTCCTTCGCACGGTTCTCTGCTGTATGTCGCGCCTTCGTTTGTTTTACTTAAAATGTAAAAAGGCTCTCTGCACCTTGAGCTACCGTCTTGGTTTCTCCGATGTTACTGACGGCAGCCGGCGATCCGCGGTTAACTTCTGGTTTACTTCTGGTAGTCAATCCGAAGTGAAATGTTAAAATGTTTTGTTGCATTGATCTTGGCCACATTAATCACATAGATTAATGCGTTTATGTTGACAGCCCAATTTCATATATATCACAGATATACTGTGCACTTTATCGGCTTTCTTTCACTTTCTAGTTAGATGCTAAACTGCATTTCGCTGTCTCAGTACCTGTACTATGTGCAATGACAATAAAGTTGAATCTAACCTAATTTTTCATGCAACACCCATTGGACTGATAAGGAATAGCAGCTACTTTTAAAGAAATGAGGTGGAGGGGATTAGACATAGGTGGATTTAATCAGGGGCGTAGCAGACAATCACAGTAGCGGAAAAACTCACAAATTAAGTGATCTGAAATGAGAGGAGATTTGAGTATGAAAAAAATATACAAAATAATGAGATCAAGACCATGACAAATAAAGACAAAGGACGAGACATGACAAACACAACTGCTGCACATAAAAAAAAGGGAAGACCACAAAGATGTGGCAGTCAAACAAACATAGGACCCAAAGCAGCGTACTTCAAAATAAAACAGAAAACAAACCAAACCAAAACCAAGATGATGAATAGTAGTGCATTCGTTTTTGGTAGAAGGAACTGAGTGAGACCGGCCTGACCCAAACCACAATCTTTTCTGGGACCCGGCTGAACAGTTTTGTCGCGTAACCAAGTGTCCTAATGGGAGTCGAGTTGGGAATGAGAACGGATTGGACATTGGGGTAATCCACCAGATTGCTCCAGTCATTCGTATTTTACTCCATCACCTCCATTCCTTCACCCATCCACTTATTCGTTTTCAATCAAAAGCATTAAGCGGAGTGATTGGAAGAGATAACGGCCTCTTCCTTTGCTCCACTCACACCGTCTCTTTTTACTTCCCAATAAATCACAGAGATTTTTTAAATTCTCTCCACACACTGTAGTAAAACTGAGACAAAAACACAACACATTTCGACTGTATCTTTGATGTGATGTGCAGCATTGGACCAGATTAGATTTACAGCATAATGAGGGTAATAAAAAATGCTCCCCCGGCAATTAAAACACACGTAAAGTAGTTCTTGTACAGCAGAGAGTGACCGAGTCAATTATCGGATGTAACAAAATTATTTTCAATAAAAATATTGTTTTCACACATTGTCATTATTAATATTGCTGTTATTGAAACAGTTATTTGACGTTTTGTTCAGGAAATTAGGAGAAATGATTTGCTTTGTTTAATAACAAGATCGATCTAATGCTTTCAGTACAGATGCTGAAGAGAAGTCCAATTTACACCTGCACAAAAAGACCAACCGCATTTTGATGCACATAATT